ATCAGCCCACGCATGTCGCTGCCCTCCTGGAAACCGCCGGCTGCCTCACCGCTGCCATCCCACCGCCGCCATTCCACCGCGGCCATCCCACCGCCGCCATCCCACCTCCACCTCTCCACCTCTGCCATCAACCGCCGCCATCAACCGCTGCCATCCCACCGCCGCCACCCGCACCGCAGGTCAACCTGGTCAATGCTGACTTGCTGGCCAAGAAGCGCGGCCTGCGCATCGTGGAGACCGTGGTGCCCTCTGACGGCACCTCTGCCCTGTCGCTCATCGAGGTGAGGATCCTCAGGCCTGGGAGGGGCCCGAGGCGGGCCTGGGAGGGCACGCCGTTGTGTGTGGTGGTGCCCGCGGGAGGCGGGCGCGGCTGGCCCGGCCCGGCGGATGAGCAGAGGCTGGCTGCGGGGCGGGGCGGGGCTGGGCGGGCCCGCCCCGAGCCGCCGAAACGAGGGGCCCCGGTGGCCGCAAGTTCTGGCCCGCCCCACCTCGCTCCCCTCTCCTCGCTCCTCCCTTGTTCTACCTTACCCTCACCTTGCCCTCTGCCCCTGCCTCCTGCCTCCCGCTGCCCCCCCCCCCCTGCCGCGCCCCCCCGTGTGCAGGTGGCCGTGGGCGCCTCCAAGTCCAAGTTCAGCAGCGCGGTGGTGGGGGACCGCATCGTAGTGGCGGGCGAGGTGAAGAGCGGGCTGCCCTTCCTCACGCGCGTGGGCGGCTTCGACGTTGACCTGGCCCTCGAGGTGCGTGCTTTCCAGCCGCGCTGCCCTGCCACGCTGCCCAGCCGCGCTGCCCTGTCGCGCTTTCCATCTCGACTGCCTGCCCTCCCTGCCCCCACGGCCCCGCCCCCCACTCCTGGCCCCGCCCCCCATCCCCGCAGGGCGAGGTGGTGCTGGTGCGCCAGACCGACCAGCCCGGCATCATTGCCGCCGTCTCCTCTGAGTTTGCGGCCAGCAAGGTCAACATCTCCTTTATGACTGTCTCACGGGTGGCCAAGGGCACTGAGGCCATCATGGCCATCGGCGTGGACGAGGCGCCCTCCGCAGCGGTGAGCCTGGCCTGGGCCTGGGGCGGGGCCGGAGCCGGTGGCGCGCCGTGTGCCTGCACGCCGCCGCGTGCCCGCCGCGCGTGCCGCCGCCGCCGCCGCCGCGCCTGGAGGTTGGGCGCGGCCGGTCAGCTGGGACGCGCCGCGGCTGCATGTCACCGGGGGCTACTAGGGGCCCTGCTCGCCCGGAAAAGGCTGTCCTGCCCTTGTTTTCTCTCCTCCTCAAGGCTGCACCTGCGCCCCCTGCATGTACCGCCTGTCCCGCAGGTCATGGATGCCATTTCCAAGATCAAGGGCGTGCAGGAGGTGACGCTCTTCTCGGAGAAGCGCGCCGCGTGAGGCGCCCCGCCGCGCCCCGCCAGCTAGCCAGCCGACATCCCAGAGGTCCGCCCTGCAATGCTTGCTGCAGGCAGCGACGGGCCCTGCGCTGCGCTTGGGTGTACTCCCTCCGCCCTGCTGCCCCATTTAGAGTTTGTATTGGCACGATGCGCCCCTTTGTTACTCTCTCCTGCCCCCCCTCGTCCCTGCTGTTTTGGCACCGGAACTGCGCTTCTTTTCCCCGCCTGCTTTCCTCTCCTCGCTGCAACGCGTGCCTCGTGCGCTGTCGATTTATGTCTGCAATGCCACCACCAAAGAGGAGTGCTGCCCTGTGTTGTGTGGCCAGCTTACGTACATCGCATGTGACTGCCGGCGCCGGCGCCGCCGCTGCCCGCTATCATTTTTGACGCATGCATGCAAAAGACTGGCATGCCGCAACGACAAACAGATGTGATCATTGTTATGTGACGTCTCTCCATTTGCACTGTGGCTTTGCTGAAGGCAGTCCAGGCGGTCTGGTGATGGCGAGGCGAGCGGCGTTGGGCCTGCGCCACCTGACAGGTGGCGGTCGCACCTGCGCCACCGGACAGGAGGGGGTGCGCCAGACCCTGCATGGATGCGCGGCTCGCTAGGATCTCACGCTCGTGCAAACATCTCCTTGTCCCGAGCAATAAAAGCAGGCAAGTGCAGCTGAAAAAACTGAGCCTGAGCCAGACCTCAACCAAACCCGGTCGGAACCGATTACTTAGACGAACACCAGGCATGCGCGCGGGATCGTGTGGCTGTTGCGATGACGGCGCACCCTGCGAGTGCTGCTAGCCTGCCGCCGCCTGCTCCCGTCCGCCTACCCCGCCGCTGGCGCTGGGCCAGCCTGTCATCCCAGAAGCCGTATCCTGTCTTTCCCAAACACTTGGTTTTTAAATCCAACTGTTTTGGATCCCTTGTGCAGCCAGGCATGGCGCTCCAGGATAAGGTGGCGATTGTGACAGGCGCCACGGGCATTGTGGGCGAGGGGATTGCGCGTGCCTTTCTCGACGCGGGCGCCACGCTCATCTGCCCCATCCGCAGGCGAGCTGCGGCCGCCAGCCGTCTGCTGCAAACTGCTGCCCTTGAAGCTGGGCTTTGGGAGGGAAGGGAGAGAAGCCAGCGGGACGATGCAGTATCCTCTGCTCATGGCAGTGTGGGGAAGTATCCCTGACCAGCTGTTGGTGCGCCCGCTGGCCTGCAGCGCGGGCAAGGAGGCAGGCCTGCGTGCGGCGCTGGGCTCGCCAGACACAGCCAGGCTGGACACGCCTGTGGACGACTACAGCAGCGCAGAGGGATCCAAGCAGCTGGCGCGCTACGTGCAGGTCAAGCACAGGGCAGTGGTGAGGCGCAGCCCCAGGGGGGAGGCAGTTTGTGTGTATGCAGGCCGTGGCAGCGGGCAGGGTGGAGGCAGTGTGTGTGTGCATGACTATGCAGGCCCTGGCAGCGGCTGTTTGGCTGCCGGTGTGGCATGCTGGGTGGCAGCGCCAGCCCTCCTGCCGCCTGGGGACGCAGAGCGCTGGCGAGGCAGGCTGTGCGCCCGCCCAGCTGGCTGCCGCTCCGTGGGTGGCTCCCCTTGCTTTTGCCGCGCACAAGCACACACACACACGCCCAGCCACGCTCACACAGCTGCCGCCACCCGGGCTGCAGGACCATGTGGTAGCTTGTACCGGCGGTATGGTCCCCATGGGAGCTCTGACCACGGTCACGGCGGCAGGCTTCAGCCAGGCGATGCACGACCGGGTGCTGGGGCAGATCCTGCTGGCGCAGGCGCTGGTGCCGCTGCTCAGGGACGAGGCGGGCAGCAGCTACACAGTCATCACGGGCCGACTGGGTGGGTTGGCTGAGCGGGTTGGGTGGGCAGCTGCTCCTGGCTGACTCATGGTACCGGGTGTCGGTCACCACCACAGCTGACAGCCAGGATAGATGGCTTCACACGCCTGCACACGCCCACAGCCCCCTCCCTCCCTGTCTTCCCCCGCCCGCAGGCGAGATGTGCAGCATGCCGGAGGGTGCGCTGTTCGCCGTCTCCAACGCCGCCGTCTATGGCGCCGTGCTGGCGCTGCAGGCGGAGCTGCGCTCCCGGCCGCAGCGCATCAACGAGGTAAGGCCCCGCCTGGCGGAGCGGGTGCGGCGCAGCGGCAGGACCACCCGAGTGCTTTGTGGCCTGCGCGCAGCCTAGCTGCAGCCCCAATTCTTTGACAACTTGTAAGGTATAGGCCCTCATTGAGCGCCTGGGCATGTGCCACGCCTCGGTGCCCTGCAGCTGCGCATCGGCGCGGTGGTTCGTCGGGACAGCGAGGAGGAGAACCCTCACTTCCCAGGTGGGGGCGGGGTGGGTGGGGGCGGCACTGCGCTGCGCCTGGTGCGAGCCAATGCCGCCTGCTTGCCGCTCTGTTCCCCCCACCCGCGCATCTGCCGGCCACCCCTTCAGCCACCAAGCATTCGGCCGCCCACTCTGTGAACCTCTCCCGTCCAAATGCGCAGGCGTGAAGGCGCACCCCGCAAGCCTGGTGGGCGCTGAGGCCCTGAAGATTGCCGCGGGCAGCCACAGCGACGAGGTGGTGCGCCTGTACCTGGACTGAGGGCTGGCCCGCCAGCCGCCGACTACCATGCCAGGCGCCGGCACTACCACTCGCCGCAAGGCGGGGCGCCGCATGTCACCCCGCTGGCTTGGACGCCCGCCTGCGCTGTTCGATCGCTTCCTTTACCCCTGCAAAGCCAGTGCGTGTCACCGTTTGCGAGCCAGCTGCGCCGCTGGAGCACTTGTAAAGGCTGGCAGACCGCTGGCTTGTCGGAGGCTGCCAGTACTAACATCTATCAAGTTCTGAGAGTCTGAAGGTGCGAATTACCGGCATTGATAGGGGCCAGAGCGTGCCAGCGGCGGGCTGCACCATCGAGCGAAGCCAGGCAGGGCCCAGACAGCCAGCCAGCAGCAGCAGCATGTGCGGTGGGAAGCCGACTCGGTGGTGGAGTGCTTCTAACCTCCCTCGCAGCTGGCCCGCCGCCGCCGGCACCGCCGCCGCCCGCCTTGCACACCTGCCGCCGGCTGCATGGGAGGCTGCCCCACCAGTGCCCGCTCCCCCACGCCTGCCCCTGCCGCAGAGGAGAACCGGCGCGAGTTACTGGAGCTGCACGCCAACTTCTGGCTCAACCGCTCCATCCACCCCCCTTACCAGGCGCTGCTGCTGCCCGCTCGCCCTCGATGGCGCTCCAGCGCCTGCCGGACGCCCGGTTTGAGTTCCCCATCGGCGCCGGGCTGGAAAACCTGATGGCCGACATCTATGCATACCTGGAGTTCCTGCCAGATACTGTAGCCGTAGAGGCCAAGGCAGCGCTGGCGCCGCTCATCGAGCAGCACGTGCGGGAGCTGCACGCGCGAGGCCCCACCTCCGCCGCCGACATCTCACCCTCCCGCTTCACCAAGATGGCAGAGGCGGACGGCGTGGCGGTGCAAGTGGTGGTCGTCAAGCACTTTTAGGGAGCGCAGCAAGCTGCCGCCCTGGTGGACACGCCACCCGACTTGCTCTGCCAGGCCTGGCTGTCGGTCCATGACCATGCCTCCACACACTCTTGCACGTGGTTCCCTTCCCCGTCCGTTTTCACTGCCTCTGTTTTCAAACACAGCTCTCACTGGTTGCTGTTGCTGGGTCACCTAGTTGTCATGCTCGATCCACCATGCCTGCCTCGCTCTTGCCCCTCTCTCTCAAAGCTGTTCTCACTCCATTTTTATTCAACATGCCAGGATACCCCCAATTCACTGGTGGATGCGTGTGCAGGCACCAGCGCCTAGCCCAGCACTTGAGCAGCATGCATGCATCCATCCCAGAGCTCCAGTATGATCCCAGCTACATGAAGGCGGCGGCCTCGGCCGAGCGCCGCTCCAGGTCCGCCTTGTGCGCGTGCGCCTGCACCACCGCCCGCACCTCCTCCCCGCTCAGGGTGTCCCGCTCAAGCAGCACCTCCATCAACCTGCGCAGCAGCAGCAGCAGCAGCAGCGATGAGCAGGAAGCACGGCAAGGTGCGGCGGCAGCGGCGGCGGCACGGGCTGCGCGGCAACAGGGAGGGGAAGGAGCAGGCGAAGACGGAGACAGAGGTGCTCAGCATGGCTGCATGCACTGGAGCAGCAGCAGCACAGGGACAAGGCCCGCTGGCGCCCAGGCCGCTCCCTGTGCTGCCGCCCCTGCTGCCCCATCACCCTCCCTCACTTTTCCAGCGCCTCCCGGTTGCGCCCCAGCATCTCCTTGACAGTCGCATACGCCTCTGCCAGCCGCTCCTCCATCTGCAGGCGGCAGGCAGGCAGGCAGCATGGCAGGCTGGCTGAATGTCTAGCAGCAGGTGCACAGCTCAAGCGCCAGCCGCAGCAGCCGGCAGCGCTGCGGCCGTGCCTACGCTCTTGCTGGGACAGCCAGCAGGCCAAAGGGTGCCCGCCAGCCTCCCCACGCGCCGCCTCCGGCCCACCCCAGCCACCCCACCCCGCCCTGCCAGAGCCCCAGATGCCCACAGACCCCTCACAGCCGCTCAGGCCCCAGCCCCACCCAGCCCACCTCTCTGTCAGCTTCATAATGCAGCTCCGGCGGCACGTTGCGGGTGACGGCCTGCATCAGGCCCGCGCCCACGCGCCGCGACACCGAGATGGTGCGCGGCCCGATGGCCGCGTTCTCGGTCATGGCAGCAGACACAACCAGTTTCTGCAGGAGGCAGCAGGGGCAGCAGCAGCAGCAGGGGCAAAAGGGGTGAGGGGTAGCAGCGGGGTGAGGCCAGCAGGGCACGTAAAATCCAGGGGTAGTGCGGGAGGAGGGCACTTGAGCGCCTTGCCGGCCACTTTGACCCTCCCTGCCGCCAGGCCCCCAACCCTCTGCACAGCAGCCGCCTCCCTCTGCGGGGCCGCTGTCGTGCTGACAAGAGCCACCAGAAACAAACACACAGGGGCGTTCAGGGCACACCAAGACACACAGATGCGTGGCAGCCCTTCCCACCTGCACGATGTTGCGGGCATCTATGAGGCGCAGCTGGTGCATCGTGGACACCTCGTCCGCGCCGTACAGCAGCTCCTCGGCTGCGGTACAGGGGGGCAGGTGGTGGTACGGGCAGTACCATCAGCGGTGCAGCAGCGGGTGCGGGGAGTGCGAAAGGGAGCCGCGATGGTGTGCGACCAGCAGGCCGAGGTGCAGCGCAGGCACCCGCCGACAGCGCGCCTGATGCGGCCACCTTTCACGCCTCTCATGCATGCACGCAGATCAGCACCAGGCCTGCCCCAGGCCTGCCCCGCGGGGCCTGCCTGCCCCGCCCCCGCCGCACCCGCGCGCCCGGACAGCACGGTCAGCAGCTGCTGCTCCAGGTAGCGCCGCGTCCACAGGCCCGTCATCTCCCGCCCCTCGTTCGCCTTCACCACCGTCTGGCCCAGAGGGTTCTTCTCTCGAGGAACGATCGTGGTCTGGGCGGTGGGGGTTTGGGGGACGACGGCGGGGGCAAGCACGTGTGAGAGTGTGTGCAGTGTACGCAGTGTGCAGTGTAGGCTATGCAGGATACACATTCATGTGTGGGCGTGAGTGTGTGGTATCGGAGGGAGCGAGGCGAGAAAAGCGTGGCATGCAAAGGTGCTGCGTTTCTGCTCTGCCTGGGCCTGGGCCCATGCGGCCAGCTGTCATGCGCACATGGCTGACGTGTCACGCTGACGTGGCACGCTGCATCCGCTGCCACTGCAGCCACCCCAACGCTCACCAGCAGCACAGGCTCGATGGCGGGCAGCAGGGTGCAGGTCAGCGCCGTAGCCGCCTCCATGGCTGCAGGGGGGCAGGCGCAGGCGTGCACAGCGGGAGCGCCTCAGCAGGCGCGGCGGTGGACAGCCCGTGCCTGCGCTGCCGCTCAGGTGCGCGGCGCACATCGCTGCTGAGGTGCCAAAGCATGCGCAGGCCCCGCATGCCGGCCGGAAGCCCTGAGCTCCGAGTAGCTCCAGCAGGCAGGTCCCAGGCCAAGCAGGCGGAGCCCACCCGCGATGCGCCTCCGCGCGGGGTCGCTGTAGCGGGGCCGCTCGGGGCCCAGCCGCTCATACTCCATGGCCTGCAGGTATGTGAGGGTTGAGTGCGATCAATTGTGAGCGCTGTGTGCGGAGGGTGGAGGGGCGGATGGCGGATGGCGCTCATCCGCCATGGCCCGACCGGCAGCGGGAGGGGAAGGATAGGGAACCCCCGGCGGCTTGCGCCACCCGCTGCCACCCCTCCACTCAACCGCCACCCGCCGCCGCCACCCGTGCCCTGGAAGCCGAGCGGTCACCTTCTCCAGGTCCTCATTGTGTATCTCTGTGCGCCCCGCCGCGGCAGCCACCGTGGCCGCCGTGTTGACAAGGTTGGCCAGCTGCGCGCCGCTGTAGCCGCTGCAGGCAGCCAGACAGGACGAGGCGGGGCAGCCGGCAGCAGCAGTGGTGGGTAGGCGGTGCGAGCATGCACATCGAAGGTCGGCGGCAGCTCAGCACACAGATGCTGTCTGCATGATTTGCCCACAAACCAGCCTCGAGGCACAAGTTCATAGAGGGCCATGGCACAGCCACAGCGGCACAGCAGGCACAGCAAGCTACCGTGCTGGCGGATGCAGCAGGCGCAGCAGGCGCTGCAGGGCTCACGTGGTCTCAAAGGCCAGGTCGTGGAAATCGATGTCCTCGGCGTACCGCCTCTTATCCAAGTGAACCTGCGGTACAACACGTGGTACATACCCAACGGGACGGTCAGGCGGGGCTGTACCGTAGAGCAGCAGAACAGCGATGCTTTGGCATGCTGGCATCACCCACCACCACTACCCACAGCCCACAACAGCCACGGCGCGCTGGAGCTGTGAGGAAGCAGAACATCTGTCCCCGCCCTCAGGATCCTCGGTGCGCCTGGCAGGCGACACCCCAACACACGCTTCTCTCCGCGCGCAACGCGCAAACCAGCCCACCTTGAGGATCTCGATCCGCCCAAAGTAGTCGGGCAGAGGCACGTACACGATGCGGTCAAAGCGGCCGGGGCGGGTGAGGGCGGGGTCCAGGATGTCGCGGCGGTTGGTGGCGGCCATGACGATGACCTGGCGCCAGGCGGGCGGGAGTGTACGCAGGCGGGTGGAAAGTCGGGCCGGGTGGGTGGCGACCCAGCACCCCACCCACCCCCGCCAACAGCCCCTTGCACACACACACACACAAGCACACACACATACTCGCCGCCACCACCACCCGTGCTCCCGCCGCCGTCAGCAGACGGGACAGCAAAGCAAGCCATAGGCCGGGGAGCAGGAGAGGGCAGGGGAGGGCAGGGGCGAGCAGGCCGCACCTGCAGCTCCGAGTCGAAGCCGTCCATCTCAGACAGCATCTGGTTGAGCGTCTGGTCGCGCTCGTCGTTGCCCTTGGCGCCGCCCCTGCGGGGTTGTGCGCGCACGTGTGTGCAAGCGTGTGTGTGTGTGTGTGTAGCTTGCGGCGGTGATGGTGGTGGTGGTGGTGGTGATCCTCTGCTGTGGTGTAGGACAAGGCTAGCGTGCTGGCCTGAAGCTGCTGGCACACAGCGCAGGCGGTAGGGAACGGCAGGCACCGCGGCGCACCTGATGCGACCCACAGAGTCGATCTCATCGATGAAGATGATGGCGGGGGCCTGGGCACGCGCCTGCAGGCGGCGGTGGCGCGGCAGGCAGGGCGCAGGCAGGCAGGCAGTGGGCAGGCCGTGGCACGCCCGACACGCAGGAGGCAGGCCGCGGGAGGCAGGGCGCAGGCCCGTCACGAGTTGCAGGCAGGCAGGCACGCAGCAGCACCACGGCAGGACGGGGGCAGCCGGCGCGTCTCGCCAGCTTCACCCCCGCCCGCCAGCCACCGTCCGCCACCCCGCAGCCGCCCGGGCCTGGGCTTGCCTGGGCGAACAGGTCTCGCACGCGGGAGGCGCCCACGCCCACAAACATCTCCACAAACTCAGAGGCGTTGAGGGCGATGAAGGTGGCGCCGGCCTCGCCCGCCACGGCGCTGCAGTTGGGAGGGCGGCAGCGGGTGTGAGGGCGGGGCGAGGGGGCGACAGGCGGGTCAACAGGAGTTGCGTGGGGAAGGCGGACGCGCGTGTGAGTGGCGCCATGGCAGGCGGGCAGGGCAGGGCGGGGCTGGCCCGGGGGCGGCGCGGCTGCCCGGCTGCCGTGCAGTGGCATGGCGATGCCCCGCGCCGCCGCCTGCCGACCCGCTGCCCTTCACCCATTACAACACACACACACACACAGAAACTCGCCACTCCAAGCCACCAACCACATCCTTCCGCTGCCCCACGCCGCGCCGTCTCACCGCGCCAGCAGCGTCTTGCCGGTGCCCGGCGGGCCGCATAGCAGCACGCCGCGAGGGATGCGGGAGCCGGAGCCGCGGAAGGCCTCTGGCTTGAGGAAGAAGTCGACAATCTCTTGCAGCTCCACCTGTGGGAGGATGCCAGAAGGATGCCAGGGGGCGGCGGTGAGGTGGTGGTGGTGATGGTGGGTGCGATTTGCTATTGCTACGGACATGGGGTACGGGGCCACATGCGGGGCTGCCAGCATGCAGACAGACTCACGACACACACATACACACACTGGCACGCACATGCACACGCACAAGGCCCCACCTTGGCGTCGCCGATGCCCGCCACGTCATCAAAGAAGATGTCCTCATCCTTGTCTGTCGCACATGGGGCAGAGGGTGGGTTGGGTGAGGCGGAAGCAAGGGCAAACGTTGGCAGTGGCTGGACTGGAGTTAACCAGGGCAGGCCAGGCTACGCTGGGAATTCCCCCGCCATTGGACCGAATGGCCTGGTGGAGGGAAGAATGGATGAGGTGGCTCGCTGGCGGTGTCGCGGCCCATCAATGTCAAAGCACACATCACCCGCAGCCTCGCTGCTGCAGGTAGCGCCACCCCGCACCTGTTACCATGAGCTTGATGTTCTTCAGCTGCCGCTGGGCTTCCTTCTGCTTGCGAGCCTTGACGGGGTCCCTGCGGGGCGACAAGGTGGGCGGGCATGCGCAGGGTGGGCGGGCATGGCATGAGCGCACGCAACAGGCAGCTTCACCCCCCCCCACCCCCCACCCCTCTCTCTCCCCTCTCTCTCTTGCTCTCTCTGTTTCACCATACACACACCGGCCTTGCGAGTCTTCCTGCCCACCCCTCCGCCCACCCACAGCCTCCACCTGCCGCCCACCTGGCCTTGCGGATCTTGGCCGTCTTCATCTTCAGCATCTGCTCCGCCTGCGCCTGCGGGTCGCCCTCGGAGTCCATCTCCTGAAACACACACACATCACACACACATCACACACACACAGGTACGCCCGCCCGCTCAGTTGGCCACCAACCGACCCGCATGCTGGCGGCTGGTCGTCAGGCACGCCCTGGGGTATCCCGGGCAACCCGACCGCTCCAGAGGCGCAAAACAGAGCCCAGGCGGGCGGGTGGGAGGGGAGCCGAGGGCGCAACTCCAGTCGGCAGCACGCACATGCAGGCCGGGCTGCCGCCCGGCTCCAGCGCTGCAGCGTCACGCATCACGCTGCCGGGGCTGCCTAATCAGCAGCCGCCGCCGGCCACCCCACTCGCCTTCATCTTTTCCCGATAGGCCGCCTCGTACTGCAGCTGCTCCTCCCCGCGAGTGTTGAATTCCTGGAAGCCGCCAGCCGCGGTACCGCCCTGCTCCGCCGCCGCCATCTCCGCCTCCACCCGCGCCACCACCGCCGCCACTGCGGCACAAAGGGCAGGGCCAGGCGGCCCAGGGGTTGCGCGTGCAGGCGTGTGCGCAGGGCGGCCTTGCAGTGGTGGCAGCAGCCCAAGGCAGCTGGTCGCCTGGCCAAAGGAGCCGAGCAGGCAGGCTCAAGATTGGCGCAGAGGCCAGGCCCACCCGCATCTCGCTCCACTTCAAACCCGGTGCGCCCCTTGATCTTCTCAAAGATCTGATCCGTCTTGAAGCCCTGCAGGGAGCGAGGGAGAAGGTGTGAGCGTGCAGGCAGCCACAGCGGCAACATCAGAGCAGCCTGCGGGCCCTGCCGCCTGTTCGGCAGCCTGCTGCCCACAGAGCCGCCCTTGCCCAAGCACGGGTGGCGGGCTCAAGCCGTCCCTGGCTTCCTCCACCACCTCCGCAACCCGGCTTCCTTCGATCTCCTCATCCCGCGGCGTGCCAACCCACCAGCTTGGCCATGCTGGCCGCCTCCTCCAGCACTTGCTCCTGCTTCTCCTCCCGCGCCTTGCGCTTGGCATCCTCCTCCGCCTTCTTGCGCAGCTTGCGCCGGTCCTCCGCATCGCCCTGCGACGCAGGCAGGCGCAGGCACGCGGTGTTGCAGGTCAGCGACCACAACCTACCTGAATCTGCGTGTGCGCTGCATGCGAACAGCCATACACTCCCGCGCGTTGTCTGCCCATCCACCCATCCCAGCAGCTGCCACCAGAGCCCCCCGCGCGTCCACTCCTTCCGCGCACGCTCCGGTTCACCCAGCCCAGCCCGCCACGCTGCCGCCGCCCCGCTTCCACCGCCCCCGCTTCCACCCTGCCCAGCCCACCTTCTTCCACCGCACGTAGCTAGTGGCCGCATAGACCAGGCCCACCAGCACATAAGGCACCCACTTCACCACAAAGGCGCCGGCGGCGGAGGAGAAGAGGGGCGTGGGCGGCTGCAGCTCGCGCTGGCTGGGCGCGGGCGCCATGCGCACCGCCTGCACGCCGTGCGTCTCCATTGCGTACGCCAGCCTGCGGAAGGTACCGGGAGGCGGCCGGGCACGGCGGCATGACGACAGGCAGCTGACAACTTGCAAGGCACGGGCCAGGGCTCAAGCTGGCACGTGGCACGACACGCGTGGGGCGAGAGGAGGAGAGTTGTGCGCGGGATGGCAGCGGCACACACACCAGCAGCGCATTTCAGCGGTACGCCAGCGGTACATGTTAATTCACCCACCTAAAGTCGTTGTCCTTCACAAAGCTCTGCGCCACGGTCCCGTCGGTCATCACCACCAGGCACGGGCCCTCCATCTGCGGCGGCACAAGGCGGGGGCTCGGCACGAGCCACGGCTCAGCAACGGCGGCAGCAAGGGCAGGAAAACACTTGCACTGGACCCTTGGGTGCACGGAAGACACAAGAAGCTACGGCCAGCCCAGGTGCATACGGCCCAGTCCTAGGGCAGCAAAACAGGTCGTGGGAAACAAGCGGGTCCCTTCCAGCTGCTACCTGCGTGGCGTCCTCATGGGTGGTGAAGAGGCGAACCTCCTGCACCTCCCCCGTGCGCATCGCTCGCAGCAGCTCGCTGTAGCCCAGCTTGCGCCGCACCACAGGCAGCCCGTACTTGGGCTCATACAGGTACTGCTGCTGCTGCTGCTGCTGCTGCTGCTGCTGCTGCTGCTGCTGCTGCGCAGCGGGCGGTTGCGCCGCCGACTGCTGCCGCTGGGGCGGGGGCGTGCCCCCGCCGATGCCTCCGCTGCCTGCTGCTGCTGCTGCTACCTGCGCGAACGAGATGGATCGGTACAGGCTGATGCCGCGTGCGAGTAAGGCGGCGACGCCACCACCGCCGGCTGCTGGCGCCGCTGGCGGACTCACCTGCAATGCGCCAAGCTGCCGTCTGCGTGGCGGCGCCGTTGCGAAACTTCGCCTTGCTCTAAGGCCAGCGATCTGGGGGCGCTGCACCTCCTGCCCCAAGCCCCGGCACTGCCTGCGTGATGGCGCCAGCCGCTGCAGGGGCTGTGCCGGCTGGCACAGCGCCATGCCGCCTTGAGCTAGCGCTGGCATGAATCCCTGGCTGCGCTACAGCAGCAAAGCACTTCAGGAGGGAGGGGCAACTGTGACAGGGCCGGCTCAGCAGCGCATTGTCCCCTCAGAGCAACAAGATGTATCGTGAACTATGGCGCATGTGGTTGAGCATGCGATCGTCGCTCCTCATGCATGTTATCTGCATTCCTGCCAGCGAGGCAGCTGACAGTGCCCTGCAGTGGCCTGAGGGCACCCCTTGGACTCCAGTGCTTTCGATCGACACACGCCTGTGCACCATGCAATCAAGCAGCCCATGAAGAGCAGGAATTGGAAGCCGTGGGCTGGCGCTGCGCTTCTGGCCTGGGGCGCCTTTCTGCAAGTGAGCAGGGCCAGGTGCATGTGTTTGGAATGATCTGCCGTGCAGCCGCTCAGCCATCTCGTCATGCGAGTTCTGGCCTTCGCCTGAAGCGGCTGGCTGAGTGTCCAGCGCACGCACACAGTGTCGGGCAAGTGCTGGAAACAGCTCTGGAGGGCTGAGGTGCTCTGGCGCTCACCAAGACTTCCGCTCCTCCGCCTGCCGCCACTCCCGCAGTGGGACATGAGGCGGCTCAGAAAGGACCCTCGATTCCGTGAAAAGTTCCCAGACCTAGCAGAGGAGCAGGAGGAAGAGGAGGAGCGCCCCTGGCGGGTCAAGAGCGACGCGGAGAAGCAGCAGCGATAGCAAGCCACAGCCGCACGGCGACGCTGACCAGCGCACTGGCGTGCCGACAAGAGTGCAGCCCTCTTGCTGGCCGACCGGGTACGCGCAGCCTGACAGCACCATGCAGCTGCACACCGAGGCCCCCACGTGGTATGAGGTGCTAGGTGTGGCACAGAGCGCCAGTCGCGACGAGGTCAAGGCTGCCTTTCGGCAGGCAGCCCTGCGGATGCACCCCGACAAGACCGTGGGCGGCGGCGACAGTCACGGCAGCAGCTCCGCGGCCGGCGGCAGTGCAGGCAGCAAATACCTTCTGGTGCAGCAGGCCTGGGAGGTGCGCTGCGGCCTGCAGAGCTGCGGATGATGGTAGCTTGAGTACTCTTCGTGCCACTACGACCAGCCAATCCCAAGGCGGAGTCCTGCTGGGCCTTGTTGCGCAAGTCTCATGAGTCCTCACACAGTCCACTGTGCTTGCTTGGCCACTGCAGGTGCTGCAAGATGCTGCGAGCCGTGCTGCGTACGACCGCCAGCTGGCGCTGAGCGCGGCAGCCGCCCAGGTGCACATCAACGAGACGGTGCTGCTAGGGGAGATGGAGCAGGAGGACGTGGAGGGGCAGCGCTGCCGCTCGTGGCGCTGCCGCTGCGGAGGCAGCTTCTTGCTGCTGGCTGAGGACGCGGCGGCGGTGGCTGCTGTAGCGGGCGAGCTGGCGGTGCCGTGCAGCACCTGCTCGCTCCACATACGGGTGGTGACTGTGCCTGGCCCTTCCGGCCAGAGGTAGTCCTAGACCTAGAAAGATTGCAAGGATAGCCAGCCTAAAAGGAAACCCGGTAGATAAGTCGTCAGATCGCACTGTTAAGCTGGAGAACGCTGGCGGTCCACCCTTCCTGTTTGCTCCAGTATGCTACTCTCACTTCAATGTATCAACGTGCTTCATTCTGGATTGTGCTGCTGTTGTGCTTCTCTTTCCCTGTTTGCTGCTGCTAAATCGAACTTGCTCCTTCTCTTTCGGCATCCACTGTTACAACCACCACAAGCACACGCGGAAGGGTTGGGTTCAGAAACCAACGACGCTGCAGCACAGCCCTGTGCTGCCCCCCGTCGCAGCCGCTGCCCCGACACGATTTGCCTGGCTACTTCTTCTGGTATTTGTCTGGGTTCTTCACAACCCCTCTCCCGAGTCCCTGCGGCGGCTTGGGGATGACGCCAGCCTGGCCCAGAAGCCGCGCCACCGTCTGCGAGGGCTGCGCCCCCACAGACAGCCAATACCTGCGGCAGCAGCGTGGTGGGCACGAGAAGCAGTGGGCAGGCAGGTGGAGGGAGCAGGGAGCACATCTGCTTTCAGCAGGAGGCGCCGGGAGGTGAGGCAGAGCTGCGCCTGGCACGCCCTGCTCTGGAACGCAGCGCAGCACAGCGCTGGCATGCGCGGGCCGGCAGGCAAGGTGGGCAGCGCAGGGCCGCGGTGCTCACTGTATCCGCTCGATGTTGAGGCCTAGTGACTTGTTGCCGTCCTTGCCTGCGACACACAAACAGGGGCGATGGGCAACAATTCATGACACAGCAAAGCTGTGGATGGGGCGGTTGTCACCGTGTGCAGCCTCTGAACGCATGTGGCCCTGCGCTGGCACTGGCGCACTGGGCACACTGCTGGGGTGCTGCAAGGCCGCTACTGCTGTCAGTCAGTGCCGCAGCCCCCGCCCACCTGGGATGGGGTCATAGTGCCCCAGCTGCTCCAGGTGTCTGCCATCGCGCGGGCACCGCGCATCCGCCGCAAATATCCGGTAGAAGGGCGAGTTCTGCAGCAAGGAGGGTGCTGCACCTTTGGAAACACACCATGGCATTGGCGGCGGCATTGGCGGCGGGGGAGCCCATCTGACCCACTGCGAGGCGGTGCACGGCGCCTCATCCGTGATGTTCCTGGGCATCTCACCTTGCGGCCAAAGCGCGCCAGGCGCAGCCGCACCACCATGCCGCTGTGCCCGGCTCAAGCACTCCGCGGCGCCAAGTCTATGCAATCACGGCCTCTGTGGAGCTCGGAGATGCTGGTGGACTGCTCCCCCTGGCGTCTAACTCGTTCTGGGAGCGAAGCAGCTCAGGGAGCAGGGATAGGCGCTTGGAGCGCAGCAAGGGAGTGGTGATGGCTCTGCAGTTCGTTGGGATTGGGCCACAGCTGCGACGGGCAACGTACGGTAACTGTACTTGGAGGATCGCAACGTGAAAGGCAGGGAAAGGGCCATCAGGAGCAGGATCGTTCGCATAGAGACGACACAACCCAATTGCAAGCCAGGCAGCAGGCTATCGCAATGCTTGCAAACACGCAGGCTGCAGCTCCAGCGGCGGCAGGCCTCCCTGCGGGCCAGCGCTGCTTCGTCTCGCACCAGCAGCACATCCAGAGGCAACACAGGCCGCGCCTGGCAGCAGCCGCCGCCCGCGGCCCAGTGGCGGCAGCAGCGGCGGCAGCGCAAGTCCTGCCCAGCTGCGGCGGCCGGCGCCAGTTGCTGCTTGCAGCCGGCCTGCTGGCAGCCGGACCAGCAGTCAGCTGGCAGGTAGCGGCAGAGGAGGCGGCCGGCAGCTCCCGCCAGGTATTGCCGCTACCGCTGCTGCCTTTGCATGGACGTCTTGGTGTAGGACCCTCGGCTCCTGCCCTTTGCTGCGTCTGCAATCAGAGTCCTCGGCATTGCGCGTTGCAGGTCTTCTTTGACATCACCGTGGATCGCAAGCCGCTGGGGCGCATAGTGATCGAGGCGAGCGCACTGCCGGCGCCGGGCCGCCGGCGCCAGCCAGCTGGTTGGGCGTGTCGTGCACTGCCGCGCATGCGCCGCACTGCATTCTCGCTCTTACCGGCAGCATCTGCACCAGCGGCTGCAGCCATGCTGCCACCTGACCCACGCCAGCTGCCTCCTGATGGTGTGCGAGCCGCTGCCGGCGCCCTGGCTACTGGCGCAGGTGCCTCAAGACGCGCCTGCCATCGGCGGCCAGCGCTTCCTGGACCTGGCGCAGGGCAAGGAGGGCGTGGCCTTCCGCAAGACCAAGTTTGAGCTTCTGGAAGACGGCTTCATCCAGAACAGCGGGCTGAAGGCGCTGAGCTACCAGGCCTCGGGGCGCACAGCAATCACGGGTGGGCGGCTCGGCAGGCTGGGCGGGCAGGTCGGTTGGGGGTGGTGGAGGCCGGAGGGCGTCGATGGGGAGGGCGTGGTGGCTTGCGATGGGTGGGCAGGCGATGGGAGTACAAGCGGGTTTGCAGAGGCAGCAGGAAGGTGCTGAGGCAGGCCATCGGCAGGCCCCGGCCAAGCCCGGGCGGCAGCCAGCCCGCCGCCCGGCCAGCCCACCTGCCCAGCCCAGCCCGCCTGCCCCTCGCCCTACCCTTGCCTGCGCGCCCGCCCCGCCCCGCACGCCCCCCGCAGGTGGGCTGGACACCGAGCTTTTGGAGGAGGAGCTGGCGGCGCAGCAGCGGCGGGGCGGCACCGTGCACGGCGCGCCCGGCCTCGTCTCGTTCCTGGTGAAGCCTCGCATCGAGATTGTGTCCAAAGACAAGCTGGTTGCTTCCAAGGGCAAGCTCATCACCGTCACAGGTCGGGGCGGGAGCGCGATGCATGCGCTGCACCGCGGCGTGGCCTGCGAGGGCGCACGCCGTGCTGAGGCGGGCTGCCTGCGCTGCCGCGTGTGGTGCAGAGACGTTTGGCGAGATCCCCAACGGCAGCTCCTGGGCCATTACCACAGAGGCTGTGCCAGAGCTGGATGACACGCACCTGGTGGTGGGCCGGGTGGTGCAGGTGAGGACGGGCCTGGGCCGGGGGTGGCAGGCTGCTGCCCGCGGGCAGAACGGCGCCGGTGCGGGCGTGCCCACCTCTGTCGGGCTGGCTGGCAGGCGGGGGCTTGCAACTGTGTGGGCATGTCGCTGCAATGGCATGCCAGCGCCACCACCACCACCACCACCGCCACCACCACCTCCTCCTGTCGCGGCGCCCGGCGGCTGCGCAGGGCATGGATGTGGTGCGGGCGGTGGCGGCGCTGCCTCGCGTCAAGGACAACACCAATTCCCCTTTCTTCCAGTACGGCAAGGCCACAGGTGAGTGATTTTGTGGGACAGTTTAGTGTAAATGGTGGAAAGGTGTCTGATGCAGCGGCGTGGGCAGGCTGGCAGGGGTGCATGCCCCGCACCACGCCCCCGCTCGATGCCCCCTCCATGCTGTGACTCTAGTGTGGCCACTGCCCGCTGGTGCTGCTGTGCTGGAGGCGACAAGCGCGCGGACGTGGCACAGAGAGCGTTCAAGAAGGCATTCAACAAGATCGTGGTTGACGAGTGCGGCTACCTCTAGAGATCTCCTGAGGATCCAAAAGGGCAGCGCCAACAATGGCGCATGCTGGGGCCCTGCCCGCCCGCCTGCCTCCCTTGCCCTCAATCTACCAATCCAACAAATGCCCCCTTAATCAGCATTCTGCACTTCCAGAGTTTGTTTACGCCCGCCAGGGTTGCTGTTTGGCGGGATTCCTGTGTCACTGAATTTTCCACACGCCCCATGTAATTGCTGTTTGCAGCACTTCAAACAAAGGCCCCCTTGTGCCCGTCCGCCAAATGCTGCCTCAGCCAGTCCAGTAGCCGGCGCTGATGCCCCACTCGCCGTGCCCCTCATCGTGCTCGATGTCATCAGGCCCATCGTATGGAACAAACCAGCGCTCCTCGTCTGCGCCGTGCTTGGTGAATGGCGGCCTGCAGGGCGTTGCCAGTGAAGGGCACAGAGTAGGTGACGCCGGGGGTGTAAATTGGTTTGGGATGAGCAAAGTGAGCAGCTCCACCATCCCGCTTGCATGCAATGCTGCAAGCGAGGCAGCAGCGGCTGCGGCGACGGAGTGCTGAGTGCTTGCCTGCCGTTGCGCACCCAGCCGTCTACCTTCGTGCGTTGGCCGGCGCTGAAGGCGGTGTACTGGCCCGCCAGATGCATCACCTCATCTGCGTCTGGATCCTGAAAGATGTGGTCGTGGCGTGCCACATAGTCCACACAGTTCCACAGCGCTGTGAGCTGCGGGCGGGTGCAGGGGTGCTGCGTGCGCAGCAGCAACTTGAGCTCCCGCAGCGCGCCCACTCGCGTCTCCTTCTGCGCAGCTCGCGTGCAATCTCTCGAGGGTCCTTCATCTCGTGACTCAACTCAAAGGAGAGACGGGGAGGTGAAGGGGCACGCCCAGGCCTACGTGGCAGAACACAGCCAACACAGGCCAGACTGTCCTTCTCGACCTGAATGTGTGTATGCTCTCTATTCTTTGGAGATAATGGGACTTGAGGAGCAACTAGTGCAGGCCTGCGAGCGCAGCGACGCACCTGCTGTGGCGCGCCTGCTGCAGCAGGGGGCCAACCCTGCAGCCGCTGTGACCGACCCTTCCAGCTACCACTACCAGTGGAAGCCCCTGCACACCACCATCTACAACGCCAAGGGGAGCTCCCAGGTGGTGGAGCTGCTGGTGAGGTGAGGGCTGGCGTGCCTGCAGCTGCATCGGAGCTGGTGCTTTACCTGCGCTTGGGGGGCCTGCAGTGAAACATGTGTGGTGTTGAGCAGCCATGTAAGGTGTCTGCCCTGAGCTGCTGCCAGCTGATCCGTTCCCCTGCCCGCGTGTCTTGGCCTGCAGCCAGCAGGGCGTGGACGTCAACGAGCCCACCGCCAACCCGCAGCACACCACCCCGCTGCACATCACGGCTTGGCACTGCCCCTCCCTGGTGCCCCTACTGCTGAAGCATGGGGCACGAGTGAACGCCACAGACGGCTACAGGCAGACCGCGCCGCATGATGCAGCGTTCCACGGCCATGCCGATGCCGTGGCGGCGCTGCTGTAGGCGGGGGCCGACGCCAGCATCCGCAACAAGCGCGGACTGACCGCACTGGACCGCGCCCGCGCCAAGGGCCACGCTGCCTGCATCAAGCTGCTGTCCGTTCACCAACCGGAGCCATGACCCAGTTCCAGTCCGGATCTAAACTCCGGCTGCAGGGCAGAACAGCTTATGGCGCAGTCCCAAGAAGGTTGCTTTTGACCTTTATTTAGCGTGTTGTCTATTGCATGGTTGCATTGCGGCGCACAATGAACAGTATGGACACAAGGGTAATGGATGCTCGGGAGGCCTGCACCAGCTGCACCCTGCAAAGCACCGAGAGCCCCAGCATTGTGTGGGGTCGAGTGCCAAATCCACGGACAAGCGACACAAGGTGGAAGCCATTCACGATGGGTGCATCGTGACTTCACCCAGACTTCTGTGGCGAGGCATGTGGCCGGCAGCACCAGGAGCGCCACTTGCATGCAGGGTGGCGCTGGGGCAAGTGCGGGCTTGCCGAGGAGGGCAGCACTGCCTCCTGCGCCACCCACGTAGCTCCGCAGGCGGCGGCACCTTGATCTGCCGCGGTGCGGGCGCCACGGAACTTTGCAGCAGGACCCGGGGCTATGGCTGCATGTACATCCGACGCTGCTTGCCTCAGCACTGCTCCGTGGCAATAGAGGCGGGCGCTGAGAAGCGAGCGAGGCACAGTCCAGGCTTCTGTGCTCCTTCAGCGCCTCGGGCTGACTGCAGATCGCATAGTATCATTGTCGGGGAGCAAGCACGGTTCAGGCCCTGCATGTGGGCTTATTGCCACCTGTTGTGCTGGTGATACCGATGCAGTGTTTCTGAAAGCTGGCGAAATCGCCAAATGCTGGCGAAATCGGGCCAAAAAACGGCTCTGGCTGGCGATTGGCCGAAGGCCATCGCCAGCCAGGGCTGGCTAAATGAGGGCAGGCGGCGGGGCGACATCGCCAGCGCGTCGCCAGCCCCCATGACTGACATCGCCNATATTTTGAGGAGAAATGGCCAATTTTCCTCAGGAACTTCACTCCATAGTGTTAAACAAGCGCCAGCTTGCTGGGGGCTTCGCCCGCAGTCCCCCAAAAGGGAGGCAAGTGCCGACAAAGCAACAGCGGCGCCGCATGTGGCCGCTGCGCTGTGCCAGGCGCAAGGGTGGCTCCCCCGCATTTCGCCAATCCTCAATGTGCCATCGCCAGCTGATTGGCGAAATTTGGACGCGACAGCAGTCCTCATCGCCCGCCCATCGCCAAAGCTGCCACGAGGGCCAGAAACACTGTACCGATGGCCCGCCAAGACTGCAGCATCGCAAGATCGCTGCACATTCCAGCCTGCCTGCTCGACGCAGGGTCTCAGATTGGCAGCTGCTGTCGACGATGGCCGCAATTGGTGTCGGGCTCCTCGCCCGGCTGCCTGCAGTGGCCGTCAGCGCCCCATCCAAGCGGCAGGGAGCCGCCCTGGGCCTTCCGGCTCTTCTGCGGTCCCCAGCGCCAAGCCGCTGCGGCAGACGGGCGGGCCGCGCCGCGCCGCTCGTTCCGCACGCGGCACGTGGCGGCGCTGCTGCAAAGGCAGCAGCCGCCGCCGCAGCAGCAGCGGCCGCCCAGCAGCAGCAGCTGGTCAGCCAGCTGTTTGCAGCAAGCACGGTGTATGCGCTGGCGGTGGCGGCCCTGGTGAGCCTCCGCGTGAATGGTTGCCCTGCTGGCGACGCTCTGTTTAGTGATGCGTCTTGTCCATCTCAGCTCCCTCTTTTTCTGCAGATGGTGCTGCTGCCACGCTGGTCAGTCACGCGGCGCCTGGTGCGCTCACCGCTGGTGCTGCTGCCGCTCATCGCTGTCTACGGCCTGCTGCTGGCGTGGTCCTGGCAGCCTGACACTTTCTCCCTCGTCCTGCCGGGCAGCTTGGCCGAGGGATTCAAGGGTGAGTGGTGCCAAGCACGCAGGCAGGCAGCCGAGGTTGCGGCCTCTCAATCGCGTTACCGCCTTCTGCAACCGCACACAGGTCGATTCCGAAGGGTTGAAAAATGCTGCCTGTGGCCACGGCTGCCTCATGTCCCATGCCTCCTCCGCTGCCGCGTGCCACAGGCGGCTTCAACCCTCAGTTCATGCCCAGCCTGGCCGGCATCTGCACGCTCTTCTCCCGCTGGCTTACCGCCGCCTCGCTGTGGGTGCACCTGCTGGCTGTCAATCTGTTTGCCGCTCGGGAGCTTTACATGGAAGGTGAGGGAGGGCTGCAGCAAGCGAGTTGGTTGCCCGCACCGATTGGACGCTCCTTTGTGCCAGCTGGGACAGGGAGGTGCACACCTGCAGGTACAGGGAGGTGCACAGAGGGCCTGCTGGGACCGTCCTCAGGCATCATGACTCCTCTTCCTGACACGCTGGCTGTGCTCTGCCTGGGGTGATGCGGCGCAGGGCTGGTGGAGGAGGTGCCGACCTGGCACAGCATCCTGCTGTGCATGACGCTGGCGCCGCTGGGCCTGCTGAGCCACACTCTGACCAAGGCCGTTGCACGGCGTACCTGATGACCACTAGCACTGCTGATGCCACTGCACTTGCAAAGCGACATACCAGCCTTCCACACACTGATTCGACTTGAGGCGTACTGTGTACACATTTTTGGCCGTTTCGCTGCGCTGCGCCCCCCAATTTTCATCCATTTATTTTCCGCGAGACCAATGTGAGCCACATGCCTGTCGTGAATGCGGCTGCTGAAGCCTCACACGCCCATGCAAGGCGCCAGTGCAGAGCGTGCGCAGCGGGAGTGGCATGAACTTCTAGAGCCCGCGTCGGGCCTCCAACCACCATTTCCACCTCCCGCTCTCCCTATTCCCACCTCCCACCTTCCCCGCTTCTCTCTGCAAGCCTCCTCCACCACCCACCTCCTCAATATGCTTGCTGTCCGCGCTCCCCTCTCCTCCACCCGCGCCTCTGGCGTTGCGGTGTCCCGCCCCGGCCGCACCCAGTCCCGCGCCACCCGTGTGGTTCGTGTGCTTGCCACTGGCGAGCCTGAGAAGCCCGTGGAGGGCGCCGCCGAGCCCTCGGTGGTTCGCCCTCATAGCTCTGTGGCCCCCAAGGTCTCCACCTTCGAGGGTAAGCCTCATGTACCACACAAACGCGTTGGGGAATGCAGCTGAGCAAGTTGGCTGGTGCGCCTGTGGTGCAATCTGTGGTGGGCGCCAGCATTGCCGACGCGGCGCTTTGCCGCCAAACCTCCAACACTCCACTGTGTTTCCTGCTCATTGCTCCTCCTGCTCCTCCTGCTGTAGAGGTGATGGGCTTCTCTGGCGCCGCCCCCGAGATTGTGAACGGCCGCCTGGCCCAGCTGGGCTTCCTGGCCGCCGTCGGCGCCGAGCTGGCCACCCAGCAGCCCGTCTCTGCCCAACTGTCCGGCTACGGCGTCCCAATCGCCGCCACCTTTGCCCTCTTCGCTGTGGCCTCTCTCATCCCCATCTTCAAGGTGAGGTCCCCGTGGGCTGGACGGCGCCGCGCAGTGGTGACTTGTGTGGTATTTTTGGTTGGCCGCCACATCTACCCCGCCGCCCCGACTTGTGTGATATATTGTTGGTTGTCCGCCACACTTATCCCTCCGCCCCCTGGCTGCTGCCTCTCTGCAGGGCGTCAAGAACGAGGAGTCGTTTGGCCCTTTCACCCCCAACGCCGAGCTCAGCAACGGCCGCTGGGCCATGATCGGCTTTGCCTCCCTGCTGATCGTGGAGGCGGTCAAGGGCTCTGCCCTGTTCTGAGCGCCTTGCCCGGCATCGCTGTCGCAGCGTCCATTCAGTTGTCGGAGCCTCCTCACAGAATGCCCTCAGCGTAGGAAACAAACCCTTCTCAGGAAACATTCAACCAGCACACTCAACCCGGTCTGTGTATTTTTGCCCCACCCCTGTCCCTCCGCCCTCTGGAGCCACGCCTGGCTCGCCGTGGAGCATGTCTACCCCCGGCCTATGCAGCGCCGCATGTCTTGATATCATTTCATTCCCAGCAACCCATTTCATCTCCTCTTCAGTCCTCTTCCTATTTACTTTTGCTGTACTCGGGCGGGGCTGTTTAGCAGCCCCGCCTGCTTGTGCCTGTCTCCTCTCAGCGGAGGCAACAGCCCTCATGTAATACGCCAGTCTTCCATAACAGCAAGTGGCAGTGGGGTAGAGGGGATTTGAAAGGCCAAGAAGTTTAGCCTTTCATGCCGTCGGCGGCGCCACGTGGCGCCGCCGCTGATCCAGATGTGCCGCTGTGCAGAGCGCCCGGTTGTGCTGCACTCGCTCACCATCTCAACATGCAGGCGCAAACAGGCACCAGGACGGCGGCCGCCGCGCCATCGGCGAGCAGGCCAAGACCGCAGAGAGCAGCCCAGCCATGCAGGCGGCAGTGGAGCCAGCCACCCCCGCCGCAGCGCCTGGCCACGGCAGTGAGGGCGCAGACGGAGCAGAAGGGCGAGCAGAAGGGGGACACGGACAAGCGGGCGGGGCGCAGCACCTACAGGCCCACGACCTACACCGAGCTGGTGGACGATGCGGTGGCGGCAGTAGCGGTGGCTGTGGAGGATGGGCTCAACCGGCTGGAGGTGGAGTTCCCCGCAGTCAGCAATGTGGACGGTAAGTGGCGGCGGCGCCGGCAGGCCCAACTTGGACCAAGCCTGCGATTTGCCTGGCTTGAATGGCACATGCGTGCATGCACGCTGTGGGGCCACATCCCCTGCCTGGCAGCTTGGATCCCTGCTCCCCGGCCGCCCCTCCTGCCTGCCACACGCACGGGAGCAGCGTGGCCTCAACAGGGAAGCTTGGGGCTGGCTGGCGGCTCCCTCCTGCAGGCTACAAGGGCTCCTCAGACTTATACATCGATGCCAACATCCAGCTGGCGCTGGCGGCGTCGCGCAAGGTGCGGCCGGCGGCGCCGCGGCCCGAGGAGCGGGGGCTTGGCGCACGCTAGGCTGTGACCTCTCCTCTCCCACCCACAGCTCGGTGCCTGCACAACAGCGAGCCACCTCTCCTAGCACTGGGCCAGTGCTGGATGAATGGATGGATGGGCGGCAGGCTGCGCAGGCGGGGCATGCACCCAGTGTTGGCGAGCGCTGAGTTGTGGAGTGCCTGCTGTGCCCTCTGCCTTGCCTGCAGCTGGCAGAGGTTACGGGCAAGCGGGTGCACCTGCTGCTGCCAGACGAGACCGAGTACTCTCGCGCAGCGGAGATGTGAGCCGCAGCCGCAGCCGCCGCCGTGAACGCGGGCGGCCGCCCTGCCTGTGGCGTGGCGTCGGAGTGGATGGTGCCGGAGACGCGCAGCTCGCCTGCGGGCCTGTGCAGGGCAGCGAGGCCGGCATGCCATCCAGCCAGCTCCGTCTCTCACCTGCCTCCATGCCCTCTGGTTGTGTGGCCGCCACTGCTCCGCCGCCGCCCCTTACGGCGCCCTGCCCACACCTGCACCGCGCCCCCGCAGGTTCAAGGCGGCACTGGCTGCCTCGGACAACGTCAGCATGGGCCACTTCCGGGAGGGGCGCCCCTCCCTGGCCTCCACCTTTGGCAACATCCTGTTCATGGGCGTGGGCGGGCGCGAGGTGGATGGTCCGCAGGTGGGTCGCCGGCAAGGCCGCCGCCGGGGCGCGCCGTGCCAGCCGCGCCGCGCCATGTCTGCCGGCCAGCAGCGCAGTCAGCGGGGCAGCAGCACAGCCAGGAGCAGCGCGTGTTGATCGTTGCGTGCTGACCGGCAGCACACACGCCTAACTGCTGCGCAGGCGGCTGCGCAGCGTGCCGACATCTTCATCGCCATTAACGCCTCCACCGTGGAGCTGGCTGACCTGGGTGGGTGGTTGGCTGGGCTGGGCTGGGTGGATGGATGGCGGGTGGTTGGGTGGATGGTTGGGCGACCTGGCTGGCATGGCATGTGGTGTGTGAGGGTGCCGCTGCCGTCCATGCGTGCCGTCCACGCGCCGTGCCATCATTGTGCTGCTGGCATACGCGGCTGCTGTACCGCAGAAGCGTACTGCGAGGAGACTGCCAAGGAGCGGGTGGTGGTGGCCTGGAACATGGAGCTGGACACGTTGCGCTCAGACCTGGGTGAGGAGGCGGGGTTGGCGGCGGCGGCGGTTTGGTGGTAGCAGGTGGCGAGGGGTGTAGCAGGCTGCGGCTGCCGTCGGGCTTGCAGCCCGCGGTTGGGCCTGGGCGAGCAGGGCAGACCAGCGGCCGTGGGGCGGACTGAGCGGAGGGCTGCTCGCGGGTCGGCAGCGGCTCCAGGTTCGTGTGGCGCCTCCCGCAGCTCGCCTTCGTGTGTCACGCTCCATTCCCTCGCCTCCTCCTTTCCTCTGTATTTTCCCGCCCGCAGGCCTGCTGGGCTTCCCCCCAAAGGACCTGCAGCACCGCTTCCTGTGCACCTTCAAGCCCGTCTTCTACATCCGCCAGCGCGACTACTCCAAGGCAAGCCCACCCACCCCCGCACCGCTCCTGCCCTTGCCAGCTGTGGTCGAGCCCCTGCTTGCTGCGCCCCGCTTGTTGCTCGTCTTCCTCTTTTGGGCCCCGCCTGCCTCCCTGCCTGCGCCCCCACGCCCCTCGCCGACGCTCCCTCCTTCCCCGGCCCCCCCACTCCACCACCACCCCCGTCTCCCCATGCTGCCCCGCTGCCGCAGAGCGTGGCGGTGGCTCCCTTCATCATTAACTACTCGGGGGCGCTGTCCGGGAGTACCCGGGGCCCTGGCAGGTCATGCTGCGCCAGGACAACGGCGTGTATGCGTGCGTGGCAGGTGAGCATGCTGCGCCTGCTGTGGTTGGGCACGGTGGTGGGATGCAGAGCAGGCCTGCAGCTGCAGGGGCCGCCCTGGCCGTGGGCTTGCACTGCTGGGGGTGGGGGCGGGCCCCTTGGAGGAGGGAGGCCAGGAGGGGCGGGGGTTGCGTGCCGCCGGTCGGCCTCCGGCTCGCTTGCTCGCCAGGCTCGCGCTGACGCTGTTATGGCGCCGCCCGTACCGCACCTGTCCCGCACCCGGTACTGCAGAGGACGACAAGCGGCGGTACAACCTGGGCGAATTCAAGGAGGAGCTGATGAATGCCATGGGGCTCAACACAGAGTCAGAGGGCTCGGCCATGGCCTTCCTGCGGCGGGGCTACAAGGTGGGCGGGTGGGCGGGCGGGCAGGGTGGCAGGCAGCTTGTGGTGCGAGGGGGTGAGCAGCCAGAGGGCAGCTTGTGGGGAGAGGCTCTGGGGCCTGCAAGAGTGCCTGCTGACAACCTTGCGGTGCCAGCCTCGCCACTGCTCCTGACCACACATGCTACACTCGCTCGGCGTTCGCCTCCCTGTGCGCTTGCGCCATGCCTGCTCGCGATGCACACTGCACTCCGTGCTCCTCCCATGTGTGCTGCCCACACACCCCTCCCTTCCCTCTGCGCAGACGTCCACATGGTGGGAGGATGACGAGGACAAGGAGCAGTCCAAGGCGTGGCGCTCATAAGTGTCCTGGCTTGTAACTGGCTGGCTTGGGCCCGTGCCCGCTGGCTGGTTGACGGCCGCTGGCCGGCCGGAAGCTGGCTGGCAGGGCATTTGCGCCGCCGCACCCCACCTGACGTTTCATTTTGCATGCTTCCCGCCAAACCCTCATCGCATTTTGAATGCTGCCGCTCTGCACAAGCTCCCCCTCTCATATTGGCTCTGATCTCCAGTTCCCGTCTCTTGCCTCCCTCTTTCCTTAATGTTGCTGTCTTCCTGCTGGGCTAGAGTGACGTGATTACCAAAGCCATTTCATTTTGAAGGTCGCTCCTCTGTGAGACTACGCCTTAAACTGGCGATTTCTATATGAATTTCAATTCAAGCAATGGGATCTGTCGGCTGAATGGCAGCTGTTGTGGGCAGTTCGGGTGTCACACGCGGCCAGCTCCTGCGCTTGCCGCGACGGTAGCTACTGGCGCTCTCCGGTCTGGCCGTTAATACCGTCCGGCAGCCCAGGCTGGCCACGCTGGCTGCATCCTCAGTGTGCGGTCCACATGATGGGGATGCCATCCTCCCGCCACGTCACCCGCCCGTCGCACAGCGCCGCCACACACAGCGGGTACAGCCGGTGCTCCTCCTTGAGCACCCGCGCCGCCAGCTGCTCGGGGCGGTCGGTTGGGTACACCGGTACCACCGCCTGCGCCAGGATGGGGCCTGCAAGGCGGAGGGCAGGCAGGGAGGGGAAACACAAGCGCAGGCCGGCTCGGCCCGCATCCAGTGCCCAGGGGGCATGCCCAGGCGACCAGCCCATCAGCACTTCCTCCCTGCCCTATCCTTCTGGGCTTCCCTGCCCGCACAGGTCGACAACCCAACAACTACAATAATCACTTTACCCTCAATCGATCCGAACCCACCCGTGTCGTACTCCTCATCCACAAAGTGTATCGTGGGGCCCGAGAAGCGCGCCCCGCTGGCCACCACGGCGCGGTGCACCTGTGCAGGCGTCCAGCAGGACGGGGGCGCCCAGTGGGATGGTGCCAGGGACAGCGGCTGCCACACCCACCACAAGAGACCAGCAGCTCGGCTTGCCAACAATGCAGCACCCCACCGGCTCTGCTTCCGCCGCCGCCGCCGCCGGCAGCCCACCTTGCCGCCGTAGTAGCCCTTGCCTCCAAAGGCGGGCAGCAGGGCGGGGTGGATGTTGAGTATGCGGCGCTTGAAGGCGCGGACCAGGCCGGGCGGGATGAGCTTCAGGTAACCTGCCAGCACCACAATGTCAACCCCATACTCCTGCGGGGGCCAGCAGACGGAAGGGAAGCACAATAAGTGCAGCCAGAAGCAGGACTATGTAGGGGATGGGTCGCCGGGTGCATGGGAGGGAGGCAGGCGCAGCAGATGCGGAGAGGGGCGGCCGCGGCGCTCAGGAGCGGTTGGGGAGGTTCAGGGGAGGAGCGGAGGCCTGGGCTGCCCAGCCGCCATGCCCACCAGTGTGAGTTGCTGCACCAGCTCCTCGTCGCCCAGCCCCTCCCCGGGGCTGTCCTTGGGCGCGGGGTAGGTGAGGGTGGGGATGCCGTGCTGCCGCGCGTATTCACAGCCACCGCAGGCGGGGGCGTTGCTGACGACCACCGCCACCTCGCCGGCCATGGCGCCCTGCTGCGTGGCAGCGTGGATGGCCCGGAAGTTGGACCCTCCGCCGGACACAAACACCGCCAGCCGCTTCTTGGGGGCCTGCGCGCTGCTGTGATCGGGCGGCGGGGTGTGTGCCGCTGCTGCCGCTGCTGCTAATGCGCGCCTGTGGACCCGCAGGTGGCTGCATCGGCCGCCGGCATGCGCGATGCCGCTGCTAGCGGGCGAGGTGTGCAGCCGGTGTGAAAGCAAGCGCATTGGAAGTGCTGCACAAGCGCAGGCCTCTGCCCGGCAGGTGTGCAAGCTCTCCATGGTTGCAAGTACCCTAGAGACATGCATGCAGACGCAGGTAGCTCGGTTTTTTCTTCGCGCCCTCCAGCTCGGCATCCAGCCTGGCGACCATAAAACCTGGCTCCTGACTCGCCTGCACGCACTCCCCTTGGCCTTCCCCACCGCCACACACTCTGGGCGACCACTTGCAGCGCCCATTACGTTAGAACTGGTCCAATCTTCGTGTCCCACGGCCACTCGGCCCCTTGGCACCACTGGGACAGCTTCATTACACCTTTGGATATTGGTACATTGTACTAGGTGAGCTGCCGACACCAGGGGTAGCCCTACCACCCCCACTGCTGGCACCACCATTGCGCCCACCTGCACCTCCCGCGCCTGCCGTTCATTTGGCATTGCTGCCGTGCAGGTGACATGCTCCATGGCCGCCGCACTGGCGCCGCAGCAGCTGGGGCCGCGGCAGGGCGCTAGCTGCCGCTGGCGGCAGCGACCGTCGCGGCCACCCTCACCTCTACTACCACACCCCCGCCTATCCAGCCAGCCAGGCCGGCCGGGCTGCCGCGCACAGCTGCAGCCCAACCCCGCGGTGCCTGGCGGCAATGCGGCAAGCGCGGCGGGGGCCTCGGCGGCCGGCGTGACCGCCGCGCCGCCCGCGCCACCGCCGCCCGCACCGCCGCTTGACGCCGTGCTCGCCCGCGGCGGTGGGGACGGCGGCAGCGGCCCGGCGCCGCCGCAGCAGCCCGACGAGCCTGAGCTGGCGCTGATACTGGTTGCCTGCGGCGTGGGGCTGGCCACGGGGGCATGCATCGTCGGCTTCAACTGGGCTGTGCACTGGATCCACGATGTGGTGTGGCAGGAGCAAGAGCTGCTGACCAGCAACGCGGCGGCACGCCTGCGGGAGATCACAGAGACCGACCTGTGGCCCAAGGTGGTGTTCCCGCCGCTGCTGGGAGGGCTGGCGGTGGGCTCCCTGGGCTGGCTCATCGGCGGGTATGACGACGCGCCCAAGCCTAAGCTAGCGGGCGCCGCCGGCGGCGGCGAGCGCGGCGCGGCAGCCGGAGCATCGGGCAGCCAGCAGCAGCAGCAGCAGCAGGGCGCGGCGGGCGGCGTGGCGGGCGAGGGCGCCGGCGCCGGCGCCAGCACCAGCGCTGCCTGGGCGCATCGGAGGGTGCAGGCGGGGGCAGTGGTGCGCCCTGTGTCGCGAGCCATGGCAGCAGCCATGACGCTCGGATCGGGTGCGTGGGCCTGATTGGCCGGAGCTGCCGCCACCTGCTTCTGATGCCGCTGCCGTGGCCCTGCTGCCGGCTGCCCCCGCCTGCGTCTCCTGCTGCTGCCGCCTCCGCCGCCGCCGCCGCCGCCGGCTGCCTCCTGCCGGCCCTTGGCACGCCCTGCACCAGCCAACGCCGCGGCCGACCCGCCAAAGCGCCCCTTGCTGCCCTGACTCCCCGCCACTTCAACGCAGGCGCCTCACTCGGACCCGAGGGACCCAGCGTGGACATTGGAAAGTCTGTGGCAGCGGGGCTGGGCTCCTCGCTGCGCAGCCGCCAGCGCCACCTCACCTCGCTCATCGCCGCCGGCAGCGGTGCAGGCGTGGCAGCAGGTTTCAACGCCCCCATAGCAGGTGGGGGCGGGGCGAGGTGGGGGTGGGGGTGGGGGAGGATCAGGGATCAGCTTGCGGCTGGCCTGGTGTGGGGAACAGCTCGTCGCTGGCGCTGGCGCTGTTGTGGCAGAAGCTTGGAAGCAATGCATTGCTTTCCTTGCGGGCGCCATGTGCCTCGCCACCCCCCACTCTTTGGCATACCCAGCCCTGCTCCTGTTGCATCCTCGGCTCCTGCCCCTCACCCGGCCTGCCCCTCTCCCCCGCCCCACCCGTCTGGCAGGCGTCTTCTTCGCGGTGGAGACCGTGCTGCAGCGCCAGAAGCTGCCGCGCATCGGCATCGGCGGCGAGGCGGCGCAGGCGCAGGCCGCGGCGGCGCAGCAGCAGCAGCAGGCCTCGGGCCTCACCATCGCCATGGTGCTGCTGGCCTCGGTGCTGGCGGCCATCGTGTCGCAGGCGGGCCTCGGTTCCTCTCCCGCCTTCCGCGTGCCAGAGTACAGGCAAGCAGCTGGTGTGGCTGGTAGCTGGCTCGAGTGACTTGCCCAGCGGTTGGTGCTACATGCCACCCATAGTGGGAAGGATATAGGTCACACAGCCCCACCCACCTCCCCCAACCCGTTTGCACAGCCGATGGTCGCCTTGCGCTGGCTGCCTTTTGCCGCGAGCTGAGCGGTGCGTACCCCGCGTACCGCCGGTACCGCCTGCAGGCTGGAGTCGCTGTACGAGCTGCCGCTGTATCTCGCCTTTGGCGCCATCTGCGGCATTGTGTCCGCCTCGTGCTCCTTCTCCACGCGGGTGGCCACCGGTGGGCCGCCGCCCGCCTCCCGCCGCCCGCCTGCGCTGCGCAGACCTCTGCCCCTGTTCCGCGCTGCGCTGGCGGCCGCAGGCACCCCTGCCTCGCATGCCCTCACACGCCCAACGGCCCGCACAGAGCCCCGAGGCACACCGCTCACTCACAAACCCCGGCACACAAGCACAGGCACACGTGTTACCCCCCCCTCCCCTGCTCACACACACACACCACCTGGCGCCACTCCCCTGCAGAGGCCTTTGACGAGCTTCGGGAGCAGAACTCCTTTGAGGCGGCGCTGACCCCCGCCATGGGCGGCCTGACCACAGGCCTGCTGGCACTGGGGTACCCCGAGATCCTGTACCAGGTACGGTACCAATGTCATGGTACCACACCACGTGGTATCCTGCCGTACCGCCGCCGCCGCACACCGTTTTAACAGCTGGATGCGCATGCCCTGCTGCCCTCCCGGCGGGGCCCCTGCCTCCTCGCTCCAGCTCTTTCCCTGCGCCTGACCCCCTCCCCTCTGCCGCATACGCATGTGAGCGCAGGGCTTTGACAACGTCAACAACATCCTCTCCTCCAACGGCTCCTACGCCCCGGGCCTCCTCATCCAGATCGTCGTCATGAAGGTCATCGCAACCGCCATCTGCCGCGGCTCCGGCCTGCAGGTGCGCGTTGCCTGGGTGCTGGTGTGTGTGGGTGCGGCGCACGTGCGGCTGGCTGGCTGGTGGAGCTGGATGGTGGTGGCGAGGGCTGGCTGGCGCCGTTGGGGGCTGCGGAGGCTGCCTGGGCGCCCCACACTGTCCTCCCTGTGCTTGCTGGATGTGCGGCCCTGAGGCTGGCGTGCCGCCTTGCCGTCTCTGCCCCTCCCTTCCCCGAAACAAGCAAACACTCGCCCACCAGCGCCGCCGCCCGTCACCCAACCCGACCTCTCTCCTTCCCACCCTGTCGTGCAGGGCGGCCTGTACGCTCCCTCCATCTTCATCGGAGCTGCCTTGGGCACTGCGTTTGGCCTGCTGGCCCACGCTGTGGGCGACCCCATCGGCCTGCCGCTGTCGGCGCCGCAGGCGTATGCCCTCGTCGGTGAGCTGCCGCGCTGTGGCTGCGCTGTGGTTGCGCTGGGCTGCGCAGGCGCCCCGGCTGGCCTGCGGCTGTGGTGTTGCAGTGGAGGCGCAGGCGCGGGGGCCCTGCTTCAAGGCTCCCTGCTGACCAGTGGTGTGTTGCAAAGCCGCCCAGATCCACCGCGCCCCGCGCCGGCCACGCTCCATGCTGCCCCGCCGCCCACGCCCGCGCCGGCCCCGCCCCACTGCCCGCAGGCGTGGCCGCGCTGCTGGCCTCCAACTGCCAGGTGCCGCTCACCTCGGTGCTGCTGCTGTTTGAGCTCACCCGGGACTACCTCATCATCCTCCCCACCCTGGCAGCTGTGGGCATCAGGTGGGGGCCGCGGGCTGGCCAGCGCACGCATGCCGCGCGCTGCTTGGACCGCAGCTGCTCCCACGCAGCATGCCCGCGCAGCCGTGCCGCTGGCAGCCAGGGAGCTGCAGCCGGGGAGCGCCAGCCGCGCTTGGCACTGTCATGCTTGCACTCTCACGCTGGCACCCACCCCGCCTGCTTCTCTGTTCCCTTCGCAGCTTCTGGGTCTCCTCCCTGGTGGCGCCGAGCGTGAAGAATGCGGCGGCGGCGCGCCGCATGACCGCCGCCGCCGCCGCCTCGGCCGCCGTGGCCACCACCCAGCTCAACGCGGCGGCCACCGAGGCAGTGCTGGTGGGCAGCCTGAAAGACAAGCTCGGGGCGTTGCCTGCGGCGTCCTCGCCTGCTGCTGCGGCGGCGGCGGCAGCGGCGGCGGCCTCCACGCCCCCACTGCCAGGGCAGTCTAGCGGCGGCGGCGACGGTACTGCTACGGTCACCCTCCAGCCGGGGGAGCTTCCGGGGCATGCTGAGCTGGCAGCTGCGGCGGCACTGAGCGGTACCACCCTGTCAGTGGGCTCGGCGCTGGAGCGCAGCTGCCTGCTGGTGGAGGCACACATGCCGGTACCGCGGGCGCTGGAGCTTATGGAAGCTGACGGGCAGCACGTGGCTGTGGTACTGGGCGAGGACGGCGGCGTGCTGGGCCTGGTGACACGGGAGATACTGGAGCAGTGCGTGGAAGCTGCCGAGGACGCGCTTTCCTCTGCCGACATCAGCGGCACCGACAGCGACGGCGGCGGCGGCCCCGGCGGCGGCCCCGGCGGCAGGCGCAGCCGCAGGAGGGGCGGCGGCGTGGCCGCCGGCGCAGCGACAGATGCTGGCACCGGCGCCGCGCCTGCCGGCTCGGCAGCCCTGAGCTCACGCGGAGAAGAATGAACGGGGTGGTGCACGCCGCCACCCGGCTGGATTGCAATCTTGTGTGTACATCACGCCTTGTGCCAGGGGCGCACCCTGCCCCGTCCCCTTTTCCCTCCCATTCCTTCCCCAAAATCAATTCGTTCATATTGCTTCTCCCTGCAATGCCTTTTGCCGGCCGGCGGCCCCCAGCGGCCGGCTGCGCGCAAGCCATCACGGTCTTACTACTGTACCGTCCTCACTCTCACACGCTGCATCCCATCTATGGCCAGACCCAACCATGTGTCCGCCTGGGCAGCTGCCATGCTGCCCAGCAGTATTCTGTTGTGGTTTTAATAGCAAATGTCACTGCATTCTGAAGGGTTGGAGATAGCTGGACATACATCACACAGCAGAGCAGCAGCCATCAACGAGCCGCCAGCTGCGCCGCTCACAGCAAGCTGCCGCTGCGCTGCTTGCGCAGCTGTGAGCATGCCAGCGACCCCCGCCTGCTCTTGCTGCCGCCGGCGGCGCCATCATCAACGCCAGGCGCGGCTGCCGCGCTTGCTGCTGCAGCGGCCGCCTGCGCAGCAGACGGCCTCCTGCCGAGCGCCGAGGGGCGCCTGGCGGGCTGCGCGACCGAGGCCTTCCGCTGCAGCCCTGCCTGCTGCGGCGGGTCCGGCGCCGGCCCTCGTGGCGAGCCTCGAGGCGAGGCAGGATCCACCCCTGCCGCCGCCGCCGCCGCTGCCAGCTGCTGCGGCATCAGCAGGCTGCTGCGCCGCCGGCTGGCCTCGTGGATGACGCCCATCAGCCGCTGCTCGTCGCCCGGGTGCAGCGCCTGCAGCAGCTGCGCCTGGCGCTGCTGCGGCAGCAGCAGCACCACCTCCCCCACCTCTCCCTCGGACAGCAGCGCCAGCAGCAGCGCCGCCGCCGCCGGGGGGCCCATCAGCAGGAGGTGCGTCTTCTCGGCGGCGCTCAGCTGCTGGAAGTGGGCGTGGAGGGCGCTGCTGGGGTCCAGGGCGGGCAGGGCAGCGGCCGGCTCGGGGTCAGGCAGCGGCGCTGGGCCTGCTGGTGTGCCTGGTATTGAGGCTGGCTGCGCTGCCGGGGAGGGAAGCGGCGGAACGGCTGTTGAGGCGGCGGCAGGCTCTGCGGTCGACGCTTCCGCAGGTGTCAGCGCCGCTGCCGGTGCCGGCTCTCCAGCTGACACTGCCTGCACTGAAGGTGTCGCCGCACCCTGCTCGCTTGCTCCGGATGACTGGGCATCTGCTGCCGCTGCCGCTGCCTCCTCAACCGTTGCTGCTGCAGCAGCTGCTTGGGCGGCTGCCTCCTCGGCCGCTGCCTTTGCGGCTGCCGCAGCTGCCGCCCTCTGCCTGGCGGCTGCTGCGTGCCGCTGGTGCGCCGCTGCCAGGGCCGCCGACCGGATGCCAGCAGAAGGCAGCAGCTGCAGCAGCCAGCCCTGCTTGTGCTGCGGAAGCAGCAGCAGGAGAATGGCAGCTTCTGAGGGCTGCGCCACTGCCACCATGCCGCTGGTGTGTCGCTCGGGGAGGAGCACTAGCACTTCAGCTGCCCAGTCCTTGCTTTCAGCGCTGCCACCAGACAGCTGCTGGCAGGCCTCTGCGGCGCTCAGCAGCAGCTGCAGGGCCGTGTGCGGCAGGATCCACTGCAGCAGCAAGGCAGCCGCGGCTGGAGGCAGGCCCATCAGGAGCGGCGGCTGCGTCTCGGGCGCCTGCGCCAGCAGCAACGCCGCCGCCAGCTGCGGCTGCGCGGCCTGCAGCACGGCTGCCTGCTGGTGCGGGGAGAGGGCGTGGCTGGCAAGCTGCGCCACCGCTTGCTCCCGCGGCAGGCCCGCCAGCAGCTTGGCCAGCAGCAGCGGCTTGCGGCGGATGACGGCGTCGGTGGCCACCGCCAGAGGAGGGCCCATCTCAGAATAGAGCTGCACAGCCGGGGAGGCGGAAGAGAAACTCTAGTAACACGCGTGCCCGTTTATTTTCTGGTGGTGGCGGTGTGGAAACCCAAACTGATTCCTTCAGCAAAGCTGCAGCTGTGCAATTGAGCTGTACAGGTGGTACCATCACCGCAACACAAGCGGTGCCAACCTGCAACCTGGTCGACTCATCAAGCAGCACCACCATTCCCGCCCGCTCCGTGTCGCCCATAGCCGCCAGCAGCTGCTGCCGCTGCGCCGCCGGCAGGCTCAGCAGCAGCGCTGCCCGTGCCTCGGGCCGCAGGCAGTGCAGCAGTGCCAAGGAGACCGGGCCGGCGTGGCCTCCCGTGCCCTGCTGCTGCTGCTGCTGCTGCTCGCTGGCTTGGGCTGGAGCGGCAGCGGCGGCCCCTGGGCCGCCTGCCGCGCGAAGCCTGCTGGGCTGGCGGGGCGACTTGAGGCTCTTGCCTGCTGCTGCTCCTGCCACGCCCGGCGCCGGGCCAAAGTGGGAGCTGCATGCGGCACCAGGCGCTCCCAGGGCGGCAACCACCGCAGCCTCGGCGCGGCCGTGCTGCCGCCACTCGCGCTGGCGCTGCCGCATGCCGACCACCGCCGCCGCCGCAGCCTCCACCGCTGCCACCTGCTTCAGCAGTGGGGCTGCTGGTGCCTCAGGACCGATGCCCAGGCTCTGGCTGCAGGGACAGGCGGGCAACAGGGCTACCTAGTTTATTGCCTCAGGTGACAGCCAGCAGCCATGAAGGTACTTGGAGGAGGAAAGCAAGTGGGTGGCAGGTACACCGAAACAGGAGAGCCTCGAGCCTCCCTGCCATCCCACCCCTTTGAATTCACCTGCGCAGCAGCTCGCTCCGCACAGCAGCCGGCAGCAGCACGGCAGCCGCTGCGTAGCGCCACCGCGCCGCCGCCCGCCGCCGCCTCACGTGCGCTGCGAGCTCCTGCAGCGCCTGCGCCTGCGCCGCCGCCTCCTCCCGCAGGGCTGCCGCCTCCTGCTGGCTGTCTTGCAGCTGCAGGGTGGAGGCCTCTTGGTCCTGCAGCAGGCAGGCGTGGGGATGATGTTGGCGATGCGGGGCAACGGCAGGTGTTGGGCAGCTGGAGACGGCCGGCGAGAACCGGCAGTCGGCAGGCGCAGGCTCCTCCCACCATATGCCTGCCACACCTTCAGAAGTAAGAAACAACAAATGGGCAGCAACTGAAAGCAAAGCAAGGAAGAACAGGGCGAAAGAGCGGGAAGAAAGAAAGAGCGGGAAGAAAGCAGGGATTGTGCTGCCAGTCCACCCACGTTGCGGAGGCGCATGATTTCCTTGCGCAGGAACTCGGCGCCGCTGGCCTCCCACCGCAGCATGGAGGCCTCTGCAGAGGGGCAGGACAGCGGGATTGAGGCCGACGGCACACGCTGTACTGATGTCGGCGCAGCGCTCGCAAACTTGCAAAGAGGGTGCTTTGAGCGCACGTTCCCGCCTTCCCACCCACCCATACGCAGCACAGCCGCCACGCACACACCCAGCAGCCCACCTGCCGACAGGTTGGCGTTGTCTGTGGCCAGTTGCTGCACCTGCTGCTGCTGCTGCTGGATGGTGGCGGTCAGCACCCCAGTGTAGCCGTTCCACAGCTGCGCCAGCAGGCGCCCGCGCTCCGCGCACCCCACCTCCACCTGCCGCACCACCTCTGCCATGCACACCGCCAGGCCGGCCGCCAGCGAGGCAAAGCAGAAGCCATCCCAGGCGGGGTCGTCGCCAGGGCCGGCCTGGGACCCTGCGGCGGCGGCAGCGCGCGGGCGGAGGCGGCCTGCGGCGGCGGCGGCGGCGGCGCTGGTGGTACCAGAGGCTGGTACCTCCAGGGACAGGTGCGCCACTGGTGCGGCTACCGCCTGTGGGTCCTTGGTCAGACCTAGGTGCGACTGCCCCTGCCTGCCGGTAGGGGCTGGTCCCGCACCCATGCCCAAGCTGCCAGTGTCGCTGCAGCTGTCGGTCTGCAGGAAACTGCTGGTACCACGTACTGCCTGTACCAGCTCCGCCGCCACCCCGGACGCTGCGCCTGCAGGGCTGGCAGCCAGCCAGGAGGGACCCGCCAGCGTGCCGCCACCAGGCGCCGCCCCGACCGCCGTCCCTGCTCGCTCCGCACGCAGCTGCTGCTGGTGCGGTGGCGGAGCCACGCCGCCGGCGGTCAGGCCCAGCAGGGCCGCTGAGCTGGACACCAGCAGCAGCTGCTGCCGCCAGGCCGCCGCACGCTTGGCCGCAGCGGCTGGGTCGGCCAGCATGTGGTGAAGGGCTGCTTCGGCCTTGGCCGCCTCCTGGCGTGTGCTGGGCGCGTCGCTGGGGAGCACCAGCAGGCAGGGGCGGCCCGCCGCATCCCGCACGCGCACCGGCATCAAGTCTGCAGCACACAGCATGAGGAATGATCCTACAAAGCTGGCATGTAGTTGGAAGGAGATTGGGGCTGCTAGCGCGCTTGCGCTGGGCACCCGCTGCTGCCTCTCAGCTGGGGATGCCACTTGCCTGCAAAGCCTCCGGTCAGCGGCGGCATCAGCAGCACCAGCAGCCCCCGCTGCACGCCCGCCTGCTGCTGCGGCTGCTGCTGCGGCTGCCTGGTGGGACTGCTCCGCTGAGCATGCTGGCCGGGGATGGTACTGCCATGGTCCCCTGCAGGTGCAAGCGCATGGTACAGCTGCTGATGCGTCAGCTCTGCCGCCAGCCAGTGCGGCGCGGTAGCCGTGCCGCCGCCGCTCATGACGGTACCGCCAGCTGCGCCGCCAGCTGGAGGTGGCGGCACAGGCTGCTGCTGCTGCTGCTGCTGCTGCTGCTGCTTGCGCCTGCTGCGGGGGCCGCGGATGCTGGGCGGCGGCAGCACGAAGCCCGCGGCTTGGTCCAGCTCGGGTTGCCCTGATGAGGTGCGGTGCAGCTGAGGCCAGGCCGGCGCGTCTGGCGAGCCCGGCCCCACCCGACCCTGGCTGCCGCCGCTGCCAGGCCGCAGCCCCTCTGCCCCCCTGCCTGCCAACGGCGACAGGCCATGTGGGTCGAGCGGTGGGCTGACCCGCAGCTGTGCGCTGGCAGCACTCCAAGGCTGGCCCGCCGCCGCTCCCTCGTGCGGGTGGTGCTGGTGGGGCTGCCGGGCTGCCTGCCTTGCGCTGGTTGCTGCCGCCGCAGATCCCGGCGGGCCTGGCTTGGTGGAAATGGCAGCCTTGAGGCGGTGGTGCAGCTGTTGGCGTGCCAGCGAGGTGTAGGCCGGCAGCGGCGCCTTTTCCAGCGCCGCCGCCACCGCCAGCGTCTGCTGGACGGCGGCGAGCTCGGCTGCCGAGCTGGCGGCTGTCAGGGAGATGGCGCTGCGCTCGCTGTGGCTGGCATGGAGGCCCTCCAGCTCAGCCAGGGCTCCAGACAGGTGGCTGGAAAACTCAGAGGCGTGGGCGAGGGGAGCGGTGTCGCCGACGGCAGCGCTGCCGCCGGCCGGCGACATGGGCGGGCTGAGCGGCAGCCTGTGCCTAATTAAGGCTGTCACGAGGGTCGCGGCGATCAGAGCTGCCAGCCCCAATGGGCGGGACTCAATGGCTCCTCCGAGGTTGCCGAATTTTGCCGCATGCCTGGTTGGACCGCGGCGGGCCAGGGGTGTCGCTGGGGCGCCCTGAAGGTGTCGGTACTCTTGAGTACCCTTGATTGGGCATCGCACCGCGGCCAAGGGAGACTTTGGAGACTTTTTTTGGCGCGCCGCCAGCCTGGCGTTGCCCAGAATTGAAGAGAGCCCTTCTTGGCTGCTGACAGGAGTCCAACCGGCGCCCCGAGGCCAGCGATCACTCGCCGTGCGGCCATCTACAGGATTTGAGCAGCAAAGCTCCTCGGCGTGCTCTGTCGTTGCCTAGCTGCCCGCTTGCAGAGCCATAACCAGCTAAGTGAGTGCCTGATTGCGCCGCAAGCCTGCTGGGTGTGCGTCCCCTTCAGCACGCGCTGCTGTCGCTGCCGGCGCCTTACCCGCTCGCCTCGCAGCTCCCCTGCTATCAGCACTGCGGCCTGAGTTGCCGGGTAGAGCCGCACCCTCGGGCTGTCGCCTGCTGTCGGTTCACGCTGGCCGGCCGCCGCTGTGCTCCCGCCGCTGCGTAGCATGGCGCCGCGCAGGGGGATGAGCGCGGAGGACAAGCGGCAGACGCTGCTGGAGATATTCCACGAGTCCAAGGACGTGTTTGTGCTCAAGGTCAGCCGTTGGGAGGAGTTATGGATGGGTTGCGCAGCACCCTCGCCTGCAACCGCATCGCGGCCCGGCCTGGCGCTTGCCTCAGGAACTCCCTGCCTCCAGCTGCCCTGCAGGACATCGAGAAGCTGGGCGCCAAGCGGGGCGTGGTGCTGCAGAGCGTGAAGGAGGTTCTGCAGGTGTTGGGCAGGCTGGGGGGTCGGTCGGGGCAGGGCAGTTGAGGCTGAGACATGGCGGTGGCGAGTCGGCCAGCTCTCGCTGCAAGGGCTGATGTGTCGGGGACTTGGGCCACACCCACCCACCATCCCATCACAGCTGCCAGCCAATCATCGCTCACCACCATCAGCGCCACCAGCCTGCCACCGCCACCAGCCAGCCACCGCCACCGCCCACCGCCCACCCGCTCGCTGCCTGCAGAGCCTGGTGGATGACCACCTGGTGCACGGCGAGAAGATAGGCATCAGCAACTATTTCTGGGCCTTCCCAAGCGAGGCCGCCGTCATCCTGGACGGCCAGGTGGCGGCGGCAGAGGCAACGCTCAGGGTGGGGCTCGGGCTGAGGGCTGGGCGGGGGCCGGTGGGCATGGGCAATGGGGAGATGACGGCGTGGAGGCGGGGCGGCGTACGAGGGGCTGGTGTGTGTCTTGATTTTCGGGAGGCCGAGCTGGCCTGGCCCTGGTTTTGCCGGCTGTTGCAGGACAAGCGAGCGGAGCGCGCTGCGCTGCAGAAGAAGGCGGAGCAGAGCAGGGCGGGCAAGGATGACAGCGTACGCGGCTGCCATGCCCTGCGCTGCCCGCCTGCCTGCCCGCCTTTCCTCCAGCACCCACCTTCCCTCAACAGTGCTGCATGCCAAGCTGAGGCGTTGTTCCGACCGGCCCGTTACCGGCCACCCCGCCTCCCACGGGCTTGGGTGCAGGACGAGCGGCAGCAGCTGGCGGCGCAGCTGGCGGCGCTGCAGGCGGAGGTGGCGGCGCAGCGGGAGGAGCTGGCTGAGTACGCGGGCAACGACCCCGACCGATATGACGCCCTCAGTGAGTGTGGCGTGCAGCACACAGAGGGGAGGCGGTGGGGAGTGAGGTCGCGCGTGGTACTTACCTGGCAGTGCCGCTTGTGTGCATGCGTCGTAAGGTCTTTGCCTCTCTACACCTGCTGCTGTCCCTCTCGCTGCCGTGCTGCAGAGGAGGCCGCCAAGCTGGCGTGCGACTCGGCCAATCGCTGGGTAGACAACATAGATGCGCTGCGGGTGGGAAGCGGGGTGGGGGGGCTGCTGGCGATGGCTCGACAACTCGCTGCCACCAGCTGTGGGTGGTGGTGCGCCTGATGTGGGTCCTGGCACCTGCACCCACCCACCCGCACGCGCTCGGGCTGCGGCGTGCAGGGCTGGCTGAAGAAGAAGTTTGATGGGCGGGGGGCGGAGATAGACAGCCTGTTCAAGGAGGTGGGGCCTTTGTAAGGAATCGTGCTGTGCATGGCTGGCCTGCCCGGGTCGTGCTCCCCTGGATGAAGGAGTGGCCATCCCTCCACGCTGATGTGTGCCCGTGCGGCTGCTCCCAAATGATTGTGTATGCAGAACGGCATCAAGGAAGACCTGGCATACTACCAGCTGGACAAGGAGGGCTAGTAGGGTCGGGCTGGGCGACGGCGAGCGCTGCGAGCGGGGGATGGCGGTGCCCCGGGGTACTGCTGGTGTATGGGTGCCTCAGTCTTGACTTTTGATATCCGTGTTCTTGATATCCATGTTCTCTTCTTCTTCGAACTACACGCCTCCAGACAACCCATAGGGAGCCTCCTTGTCGAAACATGGCGGAAGGCGGTTCGGAATGCGGCGGGCCTTGCCCGGGCTTGCTCGACTTGCCTGGCGAGGCCCTCGCGCGCATCGCTTCTCTCCTGGAGACCCGTGACAGGTGTGCAGGGAGCCGCGCCTGCCAGCGGCATGCCATGGCAAGTCGCCCTCCTGAAGACCCCTTCGGTACCCGGCCGCGCTGGAGACTTGTCAAGGCAACTCTCTTTCCCCTGAGATCAAGGCCTGAGCTGCTGCGCTGTGATGCAGGGCGTCCCTGGCGGCGGCCGGCCCCGCCCTCACCGCTTGCGCCCTGCAGCAGGGCTCCAAGTAGTGGGGCGAGGCCCTCAGCCTGACTCTGCACAACCACCAGCAGTGCCAGGGATCGATGGCATGGCTAGCCCGGCAGCGGCCCGGCGTGCACATGCTGGAAGTGGCCTCGGCAGGAGGCATGGGGGAATGGATGCACCACAGCCAGCCGCGCGTCGAGCTGCACCTTCCTTCTCCGCCACGTGAGCGAGCACTGTGCTGCGGCAGGAGCGGCGCTGCTTGCAGGCGCCCTCCACGCGCTCTGTCGCGCTGACGGCTGCAGCTGCGCCATCATCATCACGGCGTGCATTCACAGGGCGCCCACTTGGCTGCTGTTGCTGCTGCTGCTGCTGCAGTGCCCTCCCTCCGGGACCTGGAGACCAGCTTTGTGCACGTCTCAGAGGCGCAGCTGGCGGCCATCATGCAGCACACGCAGCTCACCAGGCTGCGCCTCGAGTATGCCGGCCTCAAGGCGCTGCCGCAGCAGCTCAGGGGCATGGCCAACCTGCGCTGCCTGGAGCTGTGCAGCCAGCTGCGGCTGCCCAAGGGCTTTGCCAACCTGAAGGGCCTGCACCTCACCCGCCTCCAGATCACCGACACAAACCTCGCGAAGCTGCCGCCGGCGCTGAGCAGCCTGACGGATCTCGTCCAGCTGATCCTGACAGAGAATGAGCAGCTGGCGCACGGCTGGGAGCACCTGGCCAACCTGCCGCGCCTGGAGACCCTCAGCCTGGGCGGCAGCTACAGCCTGAACCCCGGCCTGCCCGCCTCGCTGACCACCTTTGCCTCGCTGCGCCACCTGAGCCTGCGCCTCACGCCGCACCTGGTGCGCAGCCTGTGGCCGCTGGCGCCGCGACTCGCCCACCTCACCTCCCTCGACATTATGGTTGCCGACATGGAAGAGCTGCCGCACGCCATCACGCACCTCTCCCGCCTGCAAAGCCTGGACCTGCGGCACAACCACCTGCTGGCCTGCGGCTGGCAGCGCCTGTCTGCCCTGCGCCAGCTGACGGCGCTGGAGCTGGAGGGCTGCACCCACGCCCCCGCGGACCTCCATCTGCTGCTGCCCATGGCGCAGCTGACGCTGTGAGTCTCGGAGTCATTAATTATTTCGTCCACTCTCCCAGCAGTACTGCACATTTTCCTCTCAGCTTTGGTGGCCATTGCGAACTCCTGCCCTGTACATATGTTTATTTTTCCTATGAGCAATTGTTATCAACAATTTGATGCAGCCGTGGGCAAGAGCGGCGCTAGGGCAAGCAGGCGCTCGGCTTGATCGGCGTTGCTGGGTCCCATGCGTGCATCGGGATGCTCTTGCCTTATTGTGGCCAGGTGGACCATGTGCTGCTTTGGCTGGGATGCATGCACACTGGGATGCATGCACACTGGCAGTGTGACGCCCAGCGTACGCTCGTCCGCCAAGTGGCGGGCCATGGCGCCGGCGCCTCATGTGATCTGCCCCGATTTGAAAGCCCGTGTCTTGGTTGAGAAAAACGACGCCCTGTGTTTCCTGGGCTTCTGTTTTTCTACCCAGAACTCTTGAGCGTCCATCCGCCAATTGGCCGCCAGTGCGCTTTTCCCGCTGCGTACCTCACTGAGCGCTTCAATCACCCGTCCGGTGTGGTGTGGGGGCGAGCCGTGCCCCGGGTCGTGCCCCGGCTCCTCCGGACGGAAACAGCAGAGGCTGTGGGGCAACGTCCTTCCCCTCGGGCCATGGAGCAGCCCCGTGATGTCCAGGAGGTGGGTGGCAGCGCTGCAAGCGCCGGGAACCACTCACTACTCCCCAGGGTTCCGCCGCCCAGCAGTGGCGGCGACCGCCGCCGATGTTGCGCGTGCCTAGCCGCCTTAAGTCGCATCTCGACTCCCCCTCCTCCCGGTCCCCTCCTGATTGCAGGCCGTCGACGGCGGCCCGGTGCGCGGCTTTGCCAGCAGGGACCACGAGGCGCGCTTCGTGGCGCACTTCCACGCCACCTCGCTTGCCGCCGACCGCAGAGTGCACCTGGCCGGAGCCCTCCTCAAGCTGACCGTCGCCTTCAAGCCGCTGGCAGCCCGCGACTGGGGCTCCGCCGCCGTGGCCGCCGCCCACGGCAGCTGGTCGCTGCTACTGCTGCTGCTGGCGCGGTATGCGCCGCACGCCTACCTCCGAGCCCGCACGCCCCTGGTCGTCTTGGTCCAGCTGCTGCATGCCCTGGTGGGTCCCCAGCATAAGTGAGGGGCTCCGTGCAGGCCCGGTAGCCTGGCAGGCATTGCCCCGAAGCACCACCTCGGCCAACCCACCACCACACCGCTGCCTGCCGCTGACCACAGGTCACCAGCCTGCTTGCGCTCGCCACTCTGGGCCCGCCCGGCTGCCCCGCGGCCTGGCAGTTCTGGCTGCGCGAGGCCAACCTGATGCTGGCGCCCTGGATCGCCATGCTGGCGGTGGCCATGCCGCTGCCGTTCCGAGTGGCCGCGCCGGCGCACGCGGCGGCGGCCGCGCTCAGCCTCTCGGCCACCGGCTGGCGCCAACAGGTGTCCCTGCAGCTGTGCCCAGACAGCGGGCGGCACTACGCGGCCGCGGCGCGCCTGGCAGCGGCCGCCGTGGCCTGGCTGTCACCGCCGGCGGCGAGGGGCGCTACGCGGCCACCCTCGCCTGCCGCGGCCTTCTGGGGTTTGCACGCGGCTGCCCACCTGGCCTTGTCCTGCCTGGTCCTGGCCTGGCTGCACCACTCGGATCGCCGCAGGAGGCGTGAGTGGGCGCAGCAGCTGTGGCCTGCGCCCACGGCCCCCCACCGGAGCAAGGCTGCGGCGCCCGGCCACACTGAGGCCACGCCCACCACCCTGGCAGCCGCCTGGGTGCTGTGCCCGCTCTTCTGGCTCGGGTGCCTGCTGTGGCTGCACCCCGCTGCCCCCTGCCCCTCGCTCAATTGCACCAAGTTATAAAGTTTTGAATTCTACCTGTGAAGCCTTGCGTCTCGGTGAAATAGGGCAGGGGGCGACTCCCATCGCGCAGTTGGTCACCCCCAGGACAGCTGGCGCTTACAACCTATGCGCCGCAGTTCCGCTCAGAAAACGAATTCGTTGATTGCTCTCATTTGCCTCTAGCCGCTTCAAGGTGACAAGTTGTCACCAGCAGTTCAGCCGGCACATGCACACACAGCTGCTGCATTGCCAGCCGGCGCCAGCTGGCGCCAGCCATTACTACAGCCGCCGCCACTACAGCCGCCGCCTGATTAGCTCGATGTGGCGAGGCCCCACGCCGCAGCAGCCCCCAACGATGCTGGCTCCCAGATCCACCCAGCGCGCCGCATGCCGAGCGTAGGCCTCCGCCAGGATGATCCCGTCTGCATGGCACACCGGCAAATGGGTGCCGCTGGCATCAACCCTTTGCAGGGCTTGGTGGGCAGGCAAAAGCCTGGCCGCCGTGCTTGCGGTCAGCAAGCAGCAGCGCCACACCCAGCTTGCCCCGCCATGCCTGCATCGTAGTCTTCTGCGGGTGCGGCGGGCGCCGCCCGCGAGCTGCTGCCGCCCTCCAGCCACTCTGCAGCCACGCTCTCGCAACACCACACACACACGTATCAGATTGCAGTGGGCTGGCTGGGAGCAGTTTGCCGGAGGCTGAGTTGAACGGGGCAGGGAGGCGGCAGGAGCGCGCCTGAGGTGGTGGTTCTAAAGCCATTGGCATAGCCGCCGATGCGCACGCCAGGCGGTGCGGCCGCCTTGAGCACCGGCAGCGCCGCGGCCACCGCCTGCGCGGCGGGCGGGGCGCACGCAGGGCGGGTGGGTGGCGGCGGCGGCGCAGGGCAACCGCTGCCGAAGCTTGGGGCGGCAGCCACAGAAGCGGCGGCAGCAGGGGCGGCTGCAACAACAGCAGCAGATGTTGGGGCCAGGAAATACAGGCAGCTGGCGCCGATCTGCTACCGATCTGCCACCCACCTGCGGGGAGCAGCAGTTGACCAGCACCGCTTCCAGCCCCGGCAGCTCCGCCACCGCCACCACCGCGTCCTGCGGCAGGCAGGCAGGGGACCACCCCCGCCGACCGCCTGAGCATCATTCGCATCACTCGCATCACTGGCAGGCACCAGCTGCGCGGCGCCAAGGGCCCAGCGACTCCTCCGCCGCCTGCGCCTCCCTCCACTGCCTGTAGAGAGCCTCAAGCCAATCAGGCGAGGCCGAGGCGAGTAGTGCGCCGCCCCGCCACCTCCCTCTCGCTGCCTGCGGAGCGCCTCGCAGCTGCGCGGGGCCAGCCGCGCCACTTGCCTGCAGCGGCTCCCCGCTGCGCAGCAGGGCCACGTCGTCCCGGTCCTCAATCGTCCAGCTGGCCCACCAGGGCAGGCCAGAGGCGGCGGCCGCGGTGCCCGCCGCCAGCCCCTCGGTGCAGGTGGAAAGCGTCTCGCACAGCAGCAGGTCGCAGTGGTGCTTGAGGGTGCCTGGCGGGAGGCGCCGGCGGTTTGGGGGGGAAGCAGGCCTAGGGGGGCATGCAGGTGCAGCCAGGGGGGCTGCGCAGGGCACGGGCGGCCCCGGCTGCGCCGCCTGACCGTTCCAGCCCTGCTGCAAATAGCCTTGCGCCACCGCCACATATACAACCACAGCACAACCGCAGCGTCGCGCTTGCCTGCCAGCAGATTGTACTCTGGCTGCATCTCCTCAAAGGCCCGCAGCCCGCTCGCCTGCGCCTGGTAGCTCTCCCTCAGCGGCGGCAGGCAGCCTGCGGAAGGCAGGGGGAGCGGCGGGCGTGTGGGGTGCCCTTGGCGCCATTGGGGCAGGCGGATGGGAAGCGCTTAGCGCAGCTGCCACGCGACAGACCGACGCATGGCAGGCAGGGTGCGGAGCGCGGCAGCGCCACGGCGCCGCACCTGCCACCAGCACCTGCCGCCCGCTGCCGCTGCTGGCCGCTTCTGTCGCGGCCGCGCGTGCCAGCCGCGCCGCCGCTTCCAGCAGCTCCTGCTGCAGCCCCGCCTTGCCTATCCGCCCCAGCGACCACTCCGTGCAGGCAAAGCTGTTGACCGTGATCACATCCGCTCCTGCATGTTGCGAGTGCGGGCATGAGCAGCTGGGGGCTGGCAAAGCGGCGGCATCACGCAGGCTGGCGCCACCGGCGGCGGCGCGCCTGCCGCGATGTTCTCTCGGTGGACCTCCGAGACCGCCTCGGGCGCCAGGTCGTTTGCCAGGGCACCCGCCAGGAAGAGCTGCTCGTACTCCAGGCCCGGCACCAGCCGCTCCACGCCCTTGGCCTTGAGCAGGTGGCCAATGCCGCCATCCAGCAGCGTAACAGCACCCATATGGGTTCTCATCACTGTCCTGATGTCGCGAGAACCACTCGATATACATGAGGGGACTACCCGGCAACAGCAGCTAGGTGCAACGCCACGTCATCGGCGCCGCACGCGGCGCTCAAAACCCAAGCAGCACAAGCCTTATTGTGCTTTTCAGCTGATTCCGGCAACTCCTCCTGCTAGCACCTCATCCTCTCAGAGCGCCGCTAGTCGAACAGGCGAGTGGCACAGGGCTGCTGCTGGCACGCCCGTGTGGTGCGGCCATGCGGCTGCAGGGGCTCAGTGCGAAAATGGCACGACCTGAAACTCGCGCCTGGCAACAGTCCAAGGCCCGCCCAGGTCCCTGGCTGCCTGCCAGCCTGCGCGCCGCCGCCACCGCCCGCTCGCCTGCTGCCTGCCTCCCACCTCCCCTCTGGTTGCAGCACACCATGAGCTCCAGCTCAGTGGAGGACCTGCGGCGCTGGGTGGTGCAGAACAAGCTCAAGGCCATCTGTTGCGCACCGCCGCCGCCGCCGCCGCCGCCGCCGCCACTGCCCCTGCCACGCTGCCATTGCGCCGCACCAAGCGCCCCTCGCCTGCCGCTTACCATGCCCTGGCTCTGCAGTCTCATTCTGGGCCACCGGCCTGTCTGTGTCGCTAGCCTACCAGTGGACGAGGCCCATCCCGACCCAGGTGGAGCACTGAGGCAGCTGGTACCGCTCATGCTCCCTCCCCCACAAATGCCTTTTAAAGCTGTGTGCCCCTTTCTGCGGGGCCTTTGCGACAGCCCAGCTGAACTCAAGATGGGGTTGCACCCTGCTGCAGCTGAAGCTCATCCACTCGCGCGTGTATGCCCAGGTGCGCAGCAGCTGCTGGGGCTCGTTTTAGGGCCTCGCTAGTGCCACTGGCAGCTGCCACCTCTAGCTGCACGCCCTGGCGCACTGGCGCCACACCTGCCGGACCTCCCGCACAGGCTGCTCACGCTTGCGCCGCCGCTGCCACCCCACCCTGTCTGCGCAGGCGCTGACGCTGGCTGGGCTGGGCATTGCTGGAGTGGTGCAGTGGCTGGAGGAGCCTCCTCCCGAGACCACTCCGGCGCCCAAGGCCACCGGCTTCGACCGCTAGCCGCCTGGCAGCGGGCGGCTGTGTCAGGGCGAGCCCGGGAGCTGCATGCCGCCAGTGGTTTGGGGACGGGCGCGCATTTGCATGCGGCTCGGACGAAGGGGTGTGCTGTGGCGAGGCGAGGGCCGACGGTTGATTTGGTGCACAGAAAATGAGGGCTGAGGCGGTTTGCAGCCGTGGCCATGAGACAGGCTGTGAAACGGCAGCATGGATCCACGGATCGTGTGGCTGAGCGAATGCTGAAAGGGGAAAGGCGGGAGGGTTGTCTACGAGAGGTGCCTGCTCAGCTCCCTCGCAAGGACCGCTTGCACTGCCTTGCTGCTGGCCTCCAGGTGGTGCTCAACGTGGTCCCTGTCCCTGCCTCTGCCGCGTGAATGTGCTGTTGCATGGGTGCACGAACTAGACTCTTGAAAATGAAAAATGCGGGATGAAAACTGCGGCGTAAAAACAAGTAGCATGGTGACACAGCACACATGGGGGATGATAGATAGAAGCAAGGCTAGCTAAGCAATCGGTTGCTGGCTTGGTTGCGGGGCGGTGGCATGGATGGGTGTGGGGTGCGAGGGGGGGCAGGCTGCCGCTGTGGGCCTTGCCGAGGGGACGCCCTGGGGCCTGCCGAGAAGCAGCCCCTGCAGCCGCAGGGGCTGCCACCGGGGCTGCCTCGTGCCCTGCCGCCCTTTCCTCCCTCACTCGTCAGTAGTGTCCCGCAGGAAATCAGGAAGGTCCCGGAACAGGGAGGCTTCGCTGGGCAGGCCATACGAGTCCTGCTGGTGCCCCAGGGCGCTCGCCGCCGCGCCGTACGCCTCCTCCCGCCCCTCCTCCTCCTCCTCCTCCCCCACCTCCAGAGCATCCTCGTAGCTCTCCGCCTCAGCCGACAGGCGCAGCTCGTCGCGGGGGGTGGCAAAGGCTGCAGTTGGTGGCGGGCAGGCAGGAGAGGGCGGGGAGGGGACAGAGCGGGGCGGTGAGGCAGCGCAGATGCATCGGTTTGTGGTGGGCGGGCAGGAGTGGCGGGGAGGGGGAGAGCGGGGCAGGGAGACGGGGCGCGGCGGCACGGAGCGAGGCAGGCGAGAATGCAGCCGGCTGTTGGCTGTGGGCATGCCTAACCAAGGCGTGCAGCAGCAAGCAGCAGCACGAGGGATGCCACGCAGGCGCCAGCCCACCCACCGGAATTGGCGGCGCTGCCTGGCCGGCTGGCGAAAGGCCCGCCGATGGGCAGCGCGCCTCCCAGCCCGGCAAAGGCCGGCAGCGAGGCGGTACCGGCAGGGAAGCCGCCTGCTGCCGCTGCGGCTGCGGCTGCGGCGGCCGCGGCGGCGGCCGCTGCGTTGCCGCTGCCGCCGCGTGCCAGCGGCTCTCGCGGGCTGAACACAGGGGCAGTCACCGAGAAGCTGCCACCTGGCGCGGCGCCGCCGCGCTGCTGCTGCTGCAGGCTGCTGGCGCCGCTGCTACCCAGCAGGCCCAGCATGCCGCCGCCGCCGCCGCCGCCGCTGCCAGGCATGCGGATGTCGGGCGTGCCGGCGCGGGTGTTGCCGGCACTGCTGCTGCCGGCGCCGCTGCCTGCAAACGCGGCGGCGCCGGGTGCACCGAACGACAGCACGCCGCCTGTGCCGGGCTGCTGCTGCTGCTGCTGCTGCAGCTGCTGCTGCTGGTGGTGGGCGGAGGCAGGGCCCTCGTAGCCACCCATGGCCCCGCCGGTACTGAGCCGCCGCAGGCTCAGCAGCGCCTGCTGCTGCTGCTGCTGCTGTTGCTGCTGCTGCTGCTGCTGCTGCTGCTGCTCTCCCGGGCGGGCGGCCAGGGAGGCAGGGAGGACATGCAGGAAGAGGCAGGCGTCGCCCTCCCGGCAGAAGCCGTGCACAAAGTACTTGCAGATTTTGGGCGGCTGCTGCGGTACCGCCGCCGCCGCCTGCTGCAGCAGCTGCGCCTTGGCTGCATCCAGAGCAGCCAGCAGCTGCTGCTGCCGCCGCTGCTGCAGCAGTGCCAGTGCCACGGGGCCAGACAGGCCTCCAAGGCCTGCGGAGCCGGCGGCGGCGGCCGCCGGCTGCGGCGGGCGCTGCGGGGAGGCCAGCAGGCTGCCGCCGCCGCCGCCGCCGCCCTCGCCGCCGCCGCGGCCGCCCAGCACCTCGGCCCAGCCGTCGCCGCTGCCGCCGCCGGCGCCGCCGCCCGCCGGCTGCCACAGCCTGCTCCTCAGCGCTGTGAGTGCAAGGTCGTCTTGTGGCGCCAGCCTGGCGGGGCTGCCAGCCGCCGCTGCAGCAGCCAGGCTTCCCGCGGATCCGCCCCATAGCAGGCCGGCGCCGGCGCCGGCGCCGCTGCCGCTGTGCTGCTGCTGGTGGTGGTGCTGCCGCTGCTGGTGCTGGGCCAGCGAAGGGCCGGCTGCCAGCGGCAGTCCCGGAAGGTCGACAGACCAGCTGCCGCGGCTGGCGCCGCCTGCGGCAGAGCCTCCTCGCCCGCTGCCGCCGCCGCCGCCGCCGGCGTCGCCACCCCACAGCGAGCCGCCGCCGAAATCCAGGAAGGTGCCGGCCGCGGGCCCCGCTGCTGCGCCGCCGCCGCCGCCGCTCGCCTCCGCGCCCAGCCCGCTGGGCTGCTTGGCGGGGCTGGGTTCGGGGGTGCGGGCCGCAGAGGCAGCCAGGGACTCGGAGCCGCCTGCAGGCATGAGAGGCAGCACACGCAGGCAGCAAGCCGCAGGGTGGGCGAGGGCAGTCACCTGTGCGAGCAAGCAGGGCTGCGGGAGGGTACTGCTGTGAGGTACAATGATATGAGATACTGCAAGGTACCGTGAGGCACCGCGAGGTACTGCCCATGCGCTACAGCCACCCGCGCAGACGCATGCACATGCCAGCCGAGCGGCGCAGCTCCGGGCCACGCCTGCCGCCGCGGGGCGGCGGCACGCACCGGCAACGCCCTCCACGCTCCCCTCCATGCTGCTCCACCGCCCGCTGCCAAAAGCGGGCGGCGCCAGGCCTGGAGCCACGCCGAGCCCCGCGGCCGCCGCCGCGGCCACGGCCGCCGCCGCGCTGCCGGGCGCCGCGGGCTCCCACCCCTCGCTGACCACGGTCCCTGTCGGGCTGCGCAGGTTGTCAGCAACCGCCAGGGCGGCCTCAGCGGCATCCAGCATGCCGCCGCCAGCCGAAGCCGACGCTGACGGCACGGCGGCGGCGCCGCCGCCTGCCTCTGGCGGGTGGTCGTTCAAAAGGTCCAGCAGCCCCTGCTGCTCTGACAGGCGCTCCAGGCTGTCGCTGCGGTCGTGGTGCGGCAGCAGGCCTGTGAGGGCGGCAAAGCCCGCCGCCGCGCCCGCGCCGCTGTTCCCAGCGGCGGCCCAGAGCTCCAGGGCGGCGGAGCTGGCCGGCAGGCCGCCCGCTGCGCCGCCGCCGCCGCTCACGGGCAGCGCAAACAGCCCGTGGGCCTGCTGTGCCTGCGCCTGTGCCTGTGCCTGGGTTGCCGGCAGCGGCAGCGGCAGCGGCAGCGGCAGCTGCGGCGCCGCGTCGGGCAGCGAGGCCGGCGGCGGCGCGGCGGCGGCCGCCGCCTGCGCCTCCAGCAGCCGCCGCTGCTTCTGCAGCAGCACAAAGTGCTCCTTGGCAAGCTTCTCTCGCTCCTGCAGGCGGGGCAGCAGGAGGACAGGTAGGCGCGTGTGTGTGGTTTGCGAGCAGGGGCCTTGCAAGCAGAGAAAGCTGCTCCTGAGAGCAGAGCAGAGAAACCTCTGCTCCTGCTGCTCCCTCGCGAGGCGCGTCGGGATGCCTCGAGCCAGCAGTCAAAAGCAAGCCGCAAGCCGCAAGCCGCAAAGCCGCACCTGGCGCTGCCGCTCCCGCTCCAGCCGATGCTGCCGCTCCCGCTCCCGCCGCTCCGCTTTGGCCGCCTCCAGCGCCGCCTTGCGCTCCGCCCGCTCCGCCTTGGCCCTGCAGGCGCGGCGGGGGCAGATTGTGTGTGTGTGTGTGTGTGTGGTGTGTCATGGGCGGTGGGCAGGTATGTGGTGTAGGTATGGGGTGGTTTGGTGATCAGTGTGTTGTGGGTATGTAAAATCGGTGCCACGCTCTTCCGCAGACACCCGGCAGCGTTGCAGCGCCGGTGCAGCGATCCTCCCAAGGCAGCCAAGTAGAGCAGAGCAGAGCGGAGCCTGGCGGTCGGCCCCGCTCACTTTTCTGCGCGCTCTCGGTCGGCGCGCTCTCGCTCCGCCTTGTCGCGCTGCTGCTGCTCGCGCCGCGCCCGTGCCTCCTCCTGCCGCTCCCGCTCGATGCGGGCCTGCAGAAGAGGAAAAGTAGAGGAAGGGGTGGTGCGAGTTGGAGTGATGAGAGCCTGGTGGTAGGGGTGATGTCGGTGGGTGTGGTGGTGGCGTGACGTGCGGGGGCAGGCACCAGCCTGGCCCCCTGTGTGCGCCGCCTGCGAGAGCAAGCTGGCGCCAGGGCGCCGCCCCGCTTTGCCCACCTGCTCCGCCTCCTCCAGGGCCAGCATGCGGCGGGCCTGCTTCACCATGTGCTTCACCACCGCCAGGTCGTCGCCTGCCGAAAGAAGACACGGGTGGCGGCGGCGGCGAGTGGATGCACGGGTGGCGGCGGCGGCAACTGGTTTGTGTGTGCAAGGGCCTCACACTAGGCTGTGCTGCCGGGCTGCCGGGCCGCCAGCTCAGCCCACAATGCAGCGGCAACGGGCGGCTGGCGGCACACTGCACCCACCTGCCAGCTCTGGGGGCAGCTCCGCATCAGACCCCTCCCCCTCCTCTTGCTCCTCTTCCTGGTCTGGCGCCGCAGGCAGCAGGATGCACAGCTGCACGGTGTCCTCTGCCACCAGTTCCAGCAGTACCGCCACGTCGGCGTCAGCTTCCGCGTCGGCTTCCACGTCGGCGCTGCCGCCCGGCTCCAGCTGTACTGAGGGCGCCGCCGAGACATACACAGAAGCTGCCGCGCCAGCGGCTGCCGCGGCTGCTGCCGCCGCAGAGGGGCTCTCCTGGCCGCCAGAGGCGAGGGAGGTGCGGGGTGTGGCGATGCCGGGTGGCAGGCTGCCGCCGCTGCCTGGGTCTGCCCGCGCCAGCAGGGCAGCGACGGCAGAGTTACTGGCAGAACTGCTTGCTCCAGACAGCCCGGTATCTGTGCGGCGCAGCGGCCGGCCCGGCGCCGCCGCCACAGCAGCCGCAGGCAGCGGCTGCTCCCGCCGCGCCGCCGGCGGCTCGGCGCCAGAGGTACTGGCGGCGCTGTCAGACTGGGCGGTATCGGAGAGGTCAGCTGCAGCGGCAGCTGCCGCCTGCTGCTGCGCCTGCAGCTCGGCATCCATCAGCAGTACCACATCCGCCTTATCCAGTACCGCCTGCAGCGGTACAGCAATGTGGGACGCAGGAGATCGGCGGCCCGGCGGCACCGTGACGCGCCACAGCCTCTGCAGCATCTCCCCTTGGGGGCGGCAGGCCAGCGCAGGCGCCGGCATGGCGGTGGCGGCGGAAGCGTGGGCCATTGGCAGGGCAGCAAGCAAAAAACAGGCGATAGGGCCGTCTGCATGGCGGGCAGCACGCAAGACAAGGTGATAAGGAGGCTGCCGCCGCATACCTTGATGGAGGAGAGGCGCTGCGCCACCGACTTCTCCATCCCGCGGCTCAGCTTGATCACTGCAGGCAAACGGGAAGGTGTTGATCAACCAAAGGTGGTTTAAGGTTGAGGGGTTAACCTTAGAAGGCAAAAGGAGAGGCTCGACCACAGGCGCAGGGGGCAACCATTGCTGAATCAGCCCAGCAACCTAACAGCACCCCCGGCCCAGGCCACCGCTGCCTCCGCTGCCAGCAAACCAGCCGCCAGACACCTCCAGCACGCCACGGCGCCAGCCCCAGCCGCCAACCCAGCCCAGGGGCGCAGCTGCCAACCCGGCCGGCTCCAGCTGGCATCCACCCCCACACTACAACCGCAACCTCCCCACTAGCCTCACCTGCATCCAGCTCCGCCTTTACCTCCGCCAGCAGCAGGCGGTGCAGCTGGCGCTTGGCCTCCGACACCAGCGCCTCGGGGCAGCCGCCCGCCTCGGCCTGCTCGATGCGGGCCTGCGTTGGGAGCAGAGGGCGGGGGTGTGTTGTGGCGGTGAGGTGGCGGTGAGGTGCGCGGCGTGTGGTGGGAGGTGTGGTGGGGCAGGGGCACAGGCAGGTGGCAGACAGGCAAGCGAGTGCAGGCGAAAAGAGAAAAAAAACACGAGCGTCGGGCCAGGCCTGCCACCTCGGCCACCAGGCACACGCGTGTGTCCGACACAGACGGAGCGGAACGGGAAAGAAGGAAGGAAGGAAGGAAGAATGAAGGAAGGAAGAAAGTATGCGGCCGGCGCCTACCTTGAGGGCTTGGTACTGGAAGGGACCCTCGGCCGCCTGCTGCATCGCCGCCTCTAGGCTCTGCATCAGCTTGAGGAGCCGCCGCGCCTCGCCCACCTTCACCCCCGCCGCCGCCGCCTCCTTGATCGCTCTCGACAAGTGGGCGGTGCCCACGCCGTCCCTGCGGGTGAAGACGAGGGGGTGCAGGGAGGGGTGCCGGGCCGGTGTCAAGGGGGAGCGCAGGGAGGGGTGACGGGGCATGTCAAGGCCAGCTGGAGGGAAAGCGCAGCGGCGGCAGCTACTGGTGGAGGCATCAAGGCCCAGCTGGCCGCGGCAGGAGAATGAGGATCAGACAGAGGCCGGCGGGGCTCTCTGGTGCTAGGCCTGCTGCTGGGCATAGCCAGGCAGCAGCCAGCGACTTGCTAAGCAACACGGGCCTTGGCCGCACCTGAGCGCACGTGTCAGGCGGGCCTCGGCGGCGGCCGCCACGCGCCAGCGGTGCACCGCCTCCCTCGCCCGCGTCGCCTCCGGCAGCAGCAGCTCCCCGCACTGCTCGGCATCCTCGATGCACCGCTCGACTGCACACCCGGGGCGCAGTGGGGCGGCAGCAGCGGGGTTCAAGAGAGGATCGAGGCCGCTGGGCGCAAGGGCATGTGACGATGTCTCAGGCAGGCCATGCGGTGGTGCGGTACAAGCAGTACAAGCAGTACAGCAGCAGGCACATACCCGCGTCCGCGTCGTCCTGCCTCCCCAGCCTCTGCAGGTTGCGCAGCGCGGCCTCGAGCGCGCCGCGGCAGCGGCTGGCGCCGTCCAGCCGCAGGCGCAGCTCGGAGGCGGCTCTGCGGCGGGGCGGGCGACGGGAGAGGAGGGTGGGCATGGCAGGCATGCAATTATGCCCGTGCATTTCAGCACACACAGGCGCACTCCCATCGCCCTTTCAACCGGCCCCAGCCGACCCACCCCGCCCATCTCCCTCCCCCACACATCACCACCACAGCACACCTGGCGGACGCACCCCACCAGCACCATGCACAAACGGATCATTGTCCCTTGCAAGGGAGAGCGACGCATCCACCTCCCCCGCCTCTGCTCACCTGTACGCCCCTGGATCGAGCTCGTGAGCGCCCACCTTGCGGGCAGCCAGGATGGCGGCCTCAAGGCGGGGCAGGTCCGAGACGGCCTTGCAGCTGGCGGCGGCGCGGGCCAGGCCCTCGGCCGCCCGCTCCACCTCCAGCTTCTGCTTGACTGCCTGCGGTACCAAGCCGGTGCAGTACAAAGCGGTGCTTCAGTGCCAGGCAGAACGGGGCCCAGGGGCACAGCGGCGCGCAACACGGGCCATCGGCCGCAGCCCCGGCACACAGGCTGCTGCATGGAAAGCTGCGGTGAAGTGCAGCTAGCGCTGCTGTGCATGGGGCCCACTGGTGTTGCCGCCGCCATGTGCCAGGAGCGCGGCCGCCCGGCGGCCTCACCTGTATGCGCGGCAGCAGCAGCTCGGCGCCGACGGCAAACTGGCAGGCGCCGGGGGCGGCCGCCGCGGCCGCCGCCTCCGCCTTGGCGAGCACCGACTTGAGCGCGGCGCTGCCGCTGCGCGCCTGCGCCAACGCCTCATCCAGCCGCGCCGCCGCCTCCACCGCCGCGCCCTGCGTCAGGAGGGCGGCGGTGTGGGCGAATGCCGCGCAAGCACGCAACCACGCAAGCAGGAGCAACACACACGCATCACACACAGACACACACACACACGCACACACACACATGCGCAGAGGCGCCAGGCCATGCCGCCACCCCCAATCCCACCTGCGCCTGCAGTTCTTTCAGCACTCGCTTGGCCTTTGCCACCCCAATGTTGGCCTGCCGCGCCTCCTCCGTCGCGCTTTCCAGCTGCTGCAGCCGCGAGTTGAGCTCCGCCCAGAACGCCTCTGCAGCGCAGCACGGCCAAGGAATCCATATTATATATACAGTTCACTCGCAGACCATTAGGACAATATGTGATATAATAACAATGCAGCAGTCGGGGGCAAGACATGCTGCGCGCTGGCTGCCCACTGGGAATGGGGGCCGCCTGTGCATGTGGCAGGCAGGTGGGCGGACAGGCGGGCGGGCAGGGGGCGGCGCACCTGCGTCCACGGCGGGCGGCGCACCGGGCCTGCGCGCCAGCAGCGCCCCAGCTGCTGGGCCAGACATGCGTTCCACAGCCGCGTCAAACTGGGCCTGCGGTGGAGGAGGGGTGAGGAGGGGTGAGGCGACTCGGAGGGGGATGGGGTGGGGTGGGATGGGATGGGATGGGATGGGCTGGGCTGGGCTGGGCTGGGCTGGGCTGGGCTGGGCTGGGCTGGGCTGGGCTGGGAGGGGAGGGGAGGGGAAGGGAGAGGGGTGGCAGGGAGAAAGGGAGAGGAGGGCAGACGCGGCTGGCCTGGCACCCCCCCTCACATACACTCACGCACATAGACATCCCTCATTGTCGCCACCCCACCCACCGCCACACACACACAAACGCCACTCACAGTGCGAGTATAACCTGCCCCGCCCCCCACAAACACAGGCACACACAGGCCCGCTTGCCGCTCCCCACCTGCGCCTTGGCCCGCTTGATCCAGCGCTGCTTGAGCGCCCGAGCCTGCTCCACCTCGCCCGCCAGGCTGGGGTAGCGCTCCGCCGCCGCTATCGCCTCGGCGAGCTCCTCAAGGTTCATGCCGCCGCTGTGAGGCAGGGAGGGCGGGGCGGGTGGCGTGCCGGGGCGGGCAGCGCGTCGAGCGGGGCGGCGGCGGCAGTGGTTGGCAGCACATGCAGCGCGTGCGCGGCGCAGTGTGTGCATGCACGGTCGCGGCATGCACACAGGAGGGCTCCCAGGGGTCTGGGGCAGCTGAGGGCAGCGCACACACACACACACACACACAGCACGTGCGGGGGCCAGGGATGCAGGCGCCGCACACGCCCAGCCCACCTGCGCGGCTGCAGCACGTCTCGCAGCCGGTCCCCCGCCCCGATCTCCGCCTGCAGGCTGCCGGCCACCGCCTCCGCCACGCGAACAATGTGGTCTGCGGGCAAAGGGCGGGGGGGGCAGCCGGGGAGGGCGCAAACGTAAACACAACTTGTTTTCGAGCAGGGAGAAGGGGCGCGGCACAGCAGGGCCCATGCGATGCATGCGGGTGAGGGCCGCATAGGCGCGCGTCGGCCGCAGGCGGCAGTGGCAGCGGGCAGAGCGAGCAGGGACCCACGCACGGCCGCTGATCCCTGGATAAACCAGCGCACCCTGCCCCGTCCCTGAACCCTCCCTCTCCTGCCCCTGCACCCTACACCCTACCCAGCCCCTGCACCCTACACCTTGCCCCGCACCCCACCCTGCCGGCAGCCCCACCTGAGGCGTGTGGCGCCGCCGCCGCCAGCGCGGCCACCAGCTGCTGCGCGACGTCTCGGCCCGCGGGGCGCAGCAGGGCGGGCATCCCCGAGCCCGGGTCCAGCCCCACCGCCTGCGGCAGCACCTCGCCCAGCGGCTGCAGCGGCAGCAGCGGCGCGCCGCGCAGCGTCTCCAGCAGCAGCATGTCGGCGGCAGCGGCGCGGCACCAGGCCTCCAGGCATTGCAGGTCCAGCTGGTCGTCCTCGCCCAGGCCGCAGGTCATGCCAAGCTGGCGCAGCCGCTCCCACTCCTGCATGGGAGGGCGGGAGGGAGAGGCCGGGGTGGGTGGGGTGTGGGGTGGCGCTGACGGCGCTGGGGTGCTGGGCAGGCGCGGGGGTGCGGGGGCGGACGGCAGCGAGGAGGCGCAGCTTCTGGGCAGCGCCGGTGCCCAGCAGGCAAAGGAGAGGCGGCGGCGCCGGCAGGGGCCAGCCTGGCGGGGAGGGCAGTGGGCACCCGCACCTGCAGGCACTGCTGCGCGCGCCAGATGCCCGCCCGCGTCGCCGACTGCCGCACGTCCGTCTGCAGCAGCAGCACCGCCTTGCAGTGGACGAGGCGGGCCATGGCGGCGCCCACCCGAGCCACACGCTCCTGCGTGGCGTGGAGGTGACGGGACAACGCGGGGAGCGCAGTGGCATGGGGTCAGCAGGGGCGTGCGGCCAGCAGGCAAGCTTTGAATTTAGTTTACAGCGCGGTGCGCGAGGCGGACGGCCGGCTGTGGCGCTGGGCTCGCCTGCTGGCTCGGGTCGGCGAGGTCTGGGGAGGCCAGCAGACACGCCACCTGCTTCTGCCCAGCTGCCACGGCATGCATGGCCAGCGAGGCGCAGCCGGCGCAGCCGCAGCTCCTGCAGCAGAAATCAGGGCAGGTGGGATGGCATGGCAGCAGCGGCAGGCGAGCGCAGGGCCGCCGCAGGGCAGGCGGCGGCGGCAGGAGGGCGGGCGAGGCGATGACAACTTGCAGCGCAAGGTCCACACCGCATCCAGGGCCCCCCGGCCAGCTCCACCCAGCCTCCACTCAACTTCCAGCCGACTTCCACCCACCTGACCCTGCACAGCGCGGCCTCCGCCCAGCCGCAGTAGATAGCCGCCTGCTCGTCGGGATGCACGCAGGCGCCCGCCAGCGAGCTCCCGGGGAAGCTGGCGGGCAGCTCGGCGGCGCTGCCGCCGGCGGTCGCCTCTGTCACGGCCCGCGCCTCCAGCAGGCGCGCCTCCACCAGGGCGGCCGGCATGCTGCCGGGCTGTAGGTCGAGTTCCTGCACAGGCAGGAGGCAGGAGGCAGGGGCAAGGGCGGGGCGGGGCAGTCAAGGGGCTGGTGCAGCGCTTTGGGGAACCAGCGCCGGTGCAGCGACCGGGGGCAGGGAGCCTGGCGCCGAGGCGAGGCGGGAGGGAGGGCAGCCGCGCCTGCTTCCGCTGGCGGGCTGCCGGCAAGGCGACCTGCCTGCGTGGCCGTGCCAGCGGCCC